ACAAAAAAAAGTGCACAGGGTACATTCAAGTACTCAATGAGTACAATCCAAACCAACAAAAAAAAGTTAGATTTTTCAAACTTCGATGCCAACTTCACATAGCTAAGGAATGAGAGAGCCAAAACGATGGGGCTGCAATTTTGTCGGCGATAATTAATTCAAAAACTTTTATTAATACCATTGATCTTTTTTTCTCGATGTGTCATTTCTCTTGAAATGTGAAAAGACATGATCGAATTGGTTCAAGCTGGAACACGTGTGCGATTACGAACATTTCGGACCCCCTTTCACTCGTTTTTCCCTAAATTCACCAAAACTAATTTTATGAAAGGGAGCGGTGGAATAATTCGACCTTAATCATCATTTTGACCTATCGTGATCCCTCCAGAGTAAGAAAATAATTGATAATTGGAGAGAAAATAATGAAATTTGATAGTCTCTTGGTCGGGTTACTCTTTGGGTACTTAAAAAAATTTTTATTCTGAGTGTTTATTGAACTTCTAATGATCCCCGGAGACTTATTTAGGCTCGTACAGGATTATCCCCTTTCAGAGCATTTATACGGTCGATTTCCTTCATAAAAGGCGTAACAAAAAGGGGAGTAACTGGGCGCGACGAAATGTGGCCACAATCTGAATTTCTGATTTTTTCCAGCCGATTTATATTTCACCTCGCAAAATAATTCGCCGCGCGGTACAAAAATCGATTGATTTTTCATTTTTCCATCAATCTTCAGGAGAACTGGATTTATTTTTTTTTTACGATGCTTGGAACGAAAAATGATAGAAATTCGCTTGAAGTACGAGGAGAATGGAATTTTGTGGAACAGCCGAAGGAACCTTTTTTTTATTTTTGCTGGGAATAAGTCCAGTCATATATCTATACTGTAATATGCGGTGTAGACGTAACTGCAAGCTGACGCCCTGGATCAATGCTCCAGGCGTCGGCGCTCCACCATTTTCCATCCTCCAAAACTTCAATTTCAAATGGAATCGAGAGAGATTCAGCAAAATAAAAAAAATTGAGAAAAATGGCCTGGCAATTCAATCCGTAAATTTCCGGGGAAAAAATGATTTTCCTCTGATAATCAATTTTTTGCACTTATCATTTTGATTTCACGTTTATTTCTCTCAGAGAATTCCAATTTCGATGATTTTTTTCTAGTTAAAAAATTGGAGAAACCTCGGTTTTAAGCACGAGACATATTACACAAGGGAAAGAAAACAATTTGCTTTGGGGATTAAAGGCCTATGATATATAGATAAATTTATGCACCCCCGTTGCAACGAGGGGCAAATATGACATATGATTTGATATGGAGTCACTTGACTAATACGATTTTAATTAATTCTGTTACGAATAACAAGAGATCTGTCACACTTTGGCAGAAGTCCCCTGCCCCGTTAGCAATATGTCTCGTATCATCCCTCTTATTATTTCGATTAGTAGCCCCTTCTAATATGACACTTGTAAGTCCATTCGGGGATCGAACTATAACAGTTTATTCAGCCGAGATTTCCCCGATTTTATTCTTCCCAATATTCCGTACTGCAGAACAACAATTAAAAATTCACCGAATTCTTTTTTCGTCAAACCGAAATTTTCTTTTAATTATTTTTGCGTAATTTCGCTATTAAATCGCAAGAAAATATTTGTATTTGTTTATTTATCCTGATGGAAAATTAGTATTATTTTTCGTCGCTTCGTTCGGGAATATTAATCATAAACTGTTGACGGAAAGTCGCGAAAATGTAGTTATGATTTCGCGTGAGCAAGTGCTTTATTGATGATTATCTAAGCTGCAAGTGGTCCAGAGTACCACCCCAGCTGATGCTGGAACGAATGAGAGAGGATCCGGGGTGAGATCTCGGTTCATATCGACGAATCACGAGCCGACAGTCATAAATGCCTCCAACCAATGGGCGGAGTTTACACTTAAATCTCGGTATCATCTAGAAAATCCATGGGCCATCGAGATTAATCCAGGGTGTCGTCACTTCACTGTTAAACATCATTGGTGAGAGATCAAAAACAACTGTGCAGATCAACAAATTAAAAGTCAACGAGTGATTTGACATTTTTTTTTCGAAGGGAATCGTGTTTTTAACCAGTGAATTATTATTGTATGTTTTTCATCGATGGCGTTAGGTCTGGATTAGTTCATCAAAATTGTTGATATTGTGCAATTGTTTTTAATTGTTTTTATTGGACAGCCCGTGGATATTCCAGTGGATATGAGCTACACCGAACCTCTGTGGGAAATAAACGGAAATCAGGGCCCAGTAAGTACACGAGGGCAATTTTTATTTATAAATTTTTGAAAAATATTCCATTCGTCTAGCTATTTCTTTTGTTAATCTACCGGTTACAATAAATTCTAACATTTACACCGGGAATCGGGTGAATGTGGTTTCAAAAAAATTGTGAATTCAAATTTTATTCCTGCCACCAGATTTTAATTGATCGCGAAAATTCAAATTAGTGTCAGCCAAAGTAAAGAATAAATTGATTGAGCTAATAGATAAAACCTCGAGAAATATTTCCCTCATCGAAGGAGTAAAAATTCGCCGAAAAATTCGCTATCTCATGCAACTTCGAAGTAATTTCCCGAAAGTTGAGCTTGTTGAAACTATCAGTGATTTAATTGAGTAATAAGTGAATTTTCCAGTACGTAGGTGGGGAAATGCCGGGATATCCCATGTGGGATAGTTCGGTGCTTTACCAACCACCACCGCCGACCCATCCCCACGTCAATGATCACAGCAATGGAATATATCGCCAGCCATGCGCTTTACTTCATCAAAGGTACCATTAATTTATAAAATTCCTGAGGGTTTAATAAATTTCCCGATTATTTGTAACAGTCGATACACGTCAAACGGACGAATTCCGAATCAACCGACGTCCACGACGAAGAAACCCCGACGGAGAGTGGCTTCGGTCTCTCAAAGACGAGCAGCCAATATTCGAGAACGACGAAGAATGTTCAACCTGAATGAGGCCTTCGATAAACTCCGCAAAAAAGTAAATGTTACTATAAAAATTTCCCTTGGTAATTGTAAAAAAATTAATCACGACAAATATTTATGCTCCAGGTTCCGACGTTCGCCTACGAGAAGAGACTCTCGCGAATTGAGACTCTTCGTCTCGCAATCACATACATCGCATTCATGGGTGAACTACTCGGGATTGAACCAGCGAGTCCAAAAGCAGATTATATTCCACGGGAATATTATTTACCCAACTGAAAATAAATTTTCATACGCCTTGATTACGAAAAAAAAAGCAATGCTATCGACTCGGCTGTCAGTTTTGGTCCAGTGATTAGAGGGATTTATGTTCGTATTTAGGATATATTAATGTATAAATCAAATGTCTTCCAGTAAATTATTTATGAGTACTTAACAAGAAATAAAAGAATCAATTAAATGTATTTCAATACCGAAATTTTATGGGACTTTTCCTTTTTTCCTATTTTCTTATTTTCTCATAAAACATTCGCAAATGAATTTTAAAATGGAAATTCCATTACCATCCGACGGAGCGGAGCTACTAAATAATATTATTAATACCGACATACTATTACTCCTTTACCGACGCACGGATAATTCCCGATCTTGGTGTTATGATCTGTCGATAAACCCAAATTTATCCAATACCGACAACCGCGAGAGAAATGTTTGATTATCAAATGATAAAATAGAAAATCGACAACAAATCTTGATTTAAAAAATGATATAATTTTGCATAAAAGCCCGAATTAAATATTTTCCATTAAACGGGAATAATGGAAGAATAATTAATACGGAAATCAGTGATGCAAAGTGAAAGCGGAAAAATTCTTCATTTTCCCTTTTTAATGCCTGAAAGAGAGATAATAAAATTTTTATGAACCCCCCAACGATATCTCACAATCCCCGGTGTTTCTGCCTCTGTCATACAAATATTCCTGGTCAAATTGGCCCGTAAAAAAGAAGAAAGATAGTGGAAATGGAAAAATGGGAAACAAAACCCATGAGCAAAGAATTTAACCACTTTTCATGTTTCCTACTGTTTTTTTTCCCCGAGAATCGGACGCTTCGGCGGCTTCAACGAACAAATCACATTTTAAATATTCAAGTTGCCCCTGTGGGCCGACTCTTTTCCCGCTTCTAGAATGATTGAGACCATTTGTTAAGCTCCGTCCACTGTGTCCACTCTACCGATTTTTTTTCGAGTAATTTACACTTTTTTTCGTAAGGGGAAGATTGTTACGGTGACAAATGGAATAATCTCGGGAATAACGATTTATTATTGAGAACCAGAGGAAAATTGTCTGCATCGTTACAAATTATAAATGAACGGATGCCATTTGTATATTTTTCAATATATAATAAATCGAAACATTCATTTAAGATTTATCAACTCTGTGATTTCAATCAATTCTCAATAAGAAAAAATTACCAAGGGATTATCGCAGGGATAACAAGTGTAAATAAGGGTGTAGGGGTGGCAAAAAGGGTTTGTCCAGCCCTCGACAAATATTTATGAATCGCTGACAACGGGGGGTATCCGTGCAAAAAGCCCCTGACTTGAATTTGGTGAACATATGTCCGATTCTACACTCACTTTCCTACCAATTGAGCGTGTTTTAATATGATAAGCCCTCTCATATGATACACACCAGTCATCGAGGATTATCAAAGCATTAAATTCATGGAGAAAACGATCAACTAGAAACTCAGCGACAGATAAAAAAAATTGGGGGATCTATTGCATCAATTTTGTCGCCTTTTTTGGTGACTGATGGACCATCCGGTCTCTAGAGGACTCGAAAAAAGACTCAACGAGGGAAAACTGAATTTTCTATTTTCGAGATTACCAAGCCGAGGAGATTATCGTCGAGGATGATTTTGCCTGAATTATCCCTAAACAAATCCTTTATAAAATGTTTTTTATCTAGAATTAATAATTATTGAGATGAATTGGGAATAAGAAAAATTGAGAATTTGACTGCGGAATTGAATGGAAGAATTGAGGATTCTCTTTTTCTTTGCAATGGGGGAGAATTGAAACCTGTGAGAATCCGGTGAACGCCAACGCCCACACGAATGAAGAGGCAGGCTCCAAAGTATCGACCCGTGGATACTCGTCCGCCATCGCTACACGAACCTCTTCTGAACCCACCTCTTTACACACTTTTATTGCAATTACCTTTAAAAAATTTACAACGGCGAATTGAAAAGAATGAATTATTCCCTGAACGTTATTGCCCGACAAAATGATGAATTCATCATGATTTTGGATATTCCCCGTATCCGATTTGCCCCGGGAAAAACGATAGTGATATTTTTCGTTTTATCATTTTCATTGTGATGACAGGGTAAAACCCTCCGCATATGTTCAGAGAAAAATAGTATTATCTACCATATGATGTTACGAATTTAATGCAACTTTATATACGATTCAGTTTATGATTTCCCCCCGGGTTATGGGGACATCTCCAGAGTCTGGAGTAATCCCCTGCAGTCTATTAAAGCTATCATTATTTTTTCGTGTCGAAGGGGTTCATGGAGTTAATCGTCTGTAGCTTAAAACTATAAAAAGATCCTCTACCATTTTTTCAAAAAAAAATATAAGTCGGTGTGAAATCATTGAGTTTTAGTGTGTGTAATAAAAACCAATCAATCTAGAATTTTATCAGAAATGAGTGAAAAATATTTGTTGTTGCCTTCGTGAATATCGGTTGGCAATATATTTTCTCTTCTCATTTCTCGGAAGTATCACGAATAATTCAACGCGACTTTAGGGGGGTAATATTCAAAGACAATTTACCGAATAAAATGTTAAAGGCTAGAGGTGGTGTGAAGCGAGCCGCTTGGGTATATACGAAACTCAAGCTAGATCAGGGCTCGTAACAGCGTGGTAGCCAGCGCCTTATTGCCTGCTCGCCACCTACCTCTCCTCCCTTTTGGCACTTCCATGTGCGAAAGTGAGAGGATAAAGCCACTAGGAGTAGAAGATCTCCTCTCCCTCGCGTTATACACCACCACCGGGTTCCCCATCGCTTGGGAAAAGCCAATCCGTTGGCTATAGCTTCGGAGTACAGACAAGATAAAAAATTCTTTTTTTTCACTCACCCTGGCTGGATCTGTAACAAAAATTGACAATCCATAGAATTAATTGAGAGAAGAAAAAACAATAATAACCAATAAAATATTGAAATATTTTCTAGCTTTTGCTGTTTTGTACGAGCTGGATCAGATAAAATTCAATTGTGAAATTCAGATGAAAATAAATAAATTGAAAAAAAAAATGTATGAATTTCAATTACCTCTCGTCGACTGGAGCTTCTCCCACATCAGCTCCAGGAACTCGTCCCAGTCCCCAATCCTCTGGGTATACTCGAGTGGATAACGAGGAAATGTTGAAAGTTCATTGGAAATTAGTGAGGAAAGGCTTCCCTCAATCCTCAGCACCAGAATCACACACACACACAAACAATCACTTCACCACCGAAATTCACACAACTAATCGCACGCTACCACACACACGCACACACACACACACTATTCACTAATATTTTAATTTGTATGAATGCATTCGAATTATGTAGTTCGAAAAAAGAAATATTTTTTTGTCGCGAGGTGTAGTGTCGCCATTTCTTAATCCCCCAAGGCACACTGATTTCCATTTTTTCTCAAAGGGCATTGTCGCCATTTTCACTCCCATAATGCACTAATAACTCTCTCCCCCACCGTTTTGCTAGCCCACAATAATAATTGCTATTTTGTTTTGTTTAATTAAGAAAGTGCTACCGAGGGGCACAAAGCCCGAAAAACATCACGAAAACACTCACCGAGACTTACGATCGCTTTATCACTCAATTGTTAACTGTTTTCGAGCGTGAACAGCACTGATTATCGATTTACTAATAGGAAATCGAAGCGTCCTTTGTTTCACTGTTGGGGGTAGCCGCGGACTCCTTTGTCTTGGGTTCGGGTGGGGGAGAGGGGAGCCGACGAGTGACGAGTGGCACGCGCCTGCGCTATCATGAGGCCCGCGCAAATATCGGTGGGGGCGGTAGACCGCCATCTTAAAGACAAAGCATTTTGGAGGCAATCGAAGCTATTGTTGTATTTTTTTTAAGTGCGGCGCCATTAATCGCGCGGGATATCGCTGGGGGGTCTCTAGACGTTCCGTAAAAATTCTCAGACGCGGTTTTTTCATTCGAAAGAAAATAAATTGGAATAATGGGTTGAGTGCGGGAACAAGGGAAGGGAAAACAGAAGAAAAATTGTTTGTGATAATTGAATAGGTAAAATAATAAATTGTTTTTGTTAGAGGGGAAGTCATTGAAATCGGGGGAGATGTCCTGGAGATCATGGAGATGATCTCCAGAGATTCTGGTGGGTTTTTTCATTTTGGGCAGGCAGTTTTGCACCTAGAGTCAGTGTCGATGATTTTTTTCGGGGGTTTTTTATTTGTGAGTGAGGTTATTGCATAATTTTCAACAGATATTTTCATCCCCGACTACGAATATTCATACAGGGTAAGTCTCCAGGATGAAATCCAGTATTTTTATTTTTTTTTATTATCGATTCATCTTGAAATATATCGATGGGAAGAGGAACTTGATACAACGCTCTCGTAGATGATGAACCTCGAGCAAAAATATTAATATTTCCTCTCAACATCAATAATTTTCGAGATATATGTATATTTAAGAAAATTAACATGGGCTCATCTCCTTGGCACTGAATTAATTGAGTCATCCTCCTCGATAACAGACGGCTATTTACCAACAATCGAATCTGTGTCATCAACCTCTCCATGTCAACAAATATTGACTCATCCTCGTCATTGTATCTAGCAAAATCTTGTTTTCATGATTTTTCTCTGATTAAAAAAAAATTGGGGTAATAAACTGGAGTCATAACCGAGGTACCTCGCTCATTGCCCCCATTATAAGACCCTGATATCTCGGATGAAGAGGGGTAGGTGGGTTGGAAGCGTTGATAATGCTCCGGGTGAAGTTTATAATCGAGTTAGGTGTTGGAAATCTCGAAGCCGAGTAACTTGATTAAATTAGGGTATGATCGGGCTAAATTGGAGATATTAAATTTCGTTCACTTGCTATGCCAAAACCCCAGGGCTAATTGTCCATCGTGGAATGATAGATCCAGAGTTATCTAGGTTTTTTTTCATCACTTTTTTTTTTATTTGGATTGATGGTTTGGGGAAAAAGGACATCTGGGGTATGATGCTGCAAAATGGCAACACTTGAAATGTGGACATTTGTGTCGCACCGGTTAGGATACTTATGGAGCTTGAGTGGAATCCACTTGGATGATGGTCCTTGAGATCTGTGTGTGCGCCCTGTGATGCAGGCTTTACGATCTTGCCGACATCATCGGAAGCTGTGCAACAGGCCGTCTCAAACAATATTGTGTCACAGCCAATTTCTATTCATCTCCAGCAATTTATTCACAATTGCCAGATTTTTTTTTGAACGTATTCATCAAGAAAGTTCACACAGCAGATCATATCTGACCATAAATCTCATGATTCATTTACTTTTTCAATACGAAAAGAGGGATTTTCATATGCTCTGTTATCATCTAAAGAAAAATTCCAGAGATGAAATGGATTTTATTTTCAGTTTAGAAATCAGTTAAATTAAATTGATTGAGCTGAATTGACTTTTCTCATTTTTGAGGAATTTCCTGGGGTTTTCGGGACGTTAGAAATTTTTTTATTAGTCGTATAATTTAAAAATCACTTAGAACTCGTTATTTACTCTTGAGAAATAATTCTTTCATCTCCGCCGACTCTTCAGCACCTTCAAAAATCCCCAAAAATATGCAGAGCCTCCGGATACGTGTGAATCAGTCGTTAACAAGCGCTAACACTTGAATTAGGCTTCTGTTTTCAAATAAACCTACCCATCCCACCAGTCAAAATCTCAAGCATTTCAGCAACACATGCCTCCAATATCTCCTCGATCAGGGCACCATCATAAAGACCTTTTTTGGTTGACAGCAAAAAAATCCAAGCTCGATCAGCATCCATTGCATCTGCACTAAGACACTTTTCGTGTTATGCATTTTCGGGAGAGAAAAAAAAATTAAGAGCCACCACTTAAGAATATCGAGGATTTCTTCCTGCAGTCGAGACTATTTCCGCTGCTAGATTTTTTACTCACATCCGCTTTATTATATCATGTTCCAAATAATGTGGAGAAATTTTCAGTTTGAAATATATCCAGTGTTTAAGTGGTTGAATACGACAAAACAAGATTTTTTTCATACAGAAGAAGTCCCTCGCTTTTTCCCTTCCCAATTATCAATTCTAGGTGAAAATACTGAAGAGCTTTCTTGTAGCTAATTAAATTCTCGAAAAAAAATGTTTCTTCATATTTTCACCTAAAATCAACACGCTCAGAGTTGAAGCCCTGTTTAACTGAACTGAAATTCAATCAATTTAATTTTCAATCATTTTCGATGATTAATAATGAGTTTATTTTTTATTTTTCCAGATTTTGGTAGCCAAGGAGCTAAATACGTCGGTGTCAGCACCCGGAGCTTCAAAAGGTAAGAGAAGCGTTGAAAATTCAATGTCCTTGAAGTTGCGTAGAAATTGCCAGACTTTCAGCAGCAGTAAAATTACTCTTGGGGTCTTGAGGAAATATGGACATCAAGTATTGCCCAAAATTTTCAAAGATCCATTGTCAAAGAGTGGCCGGGTAGTTAACGAGTGTTAAAACCTCTCACCCCCCTTTTTTCCACCAAGGCAAGTACTCTAATGGCTTTATGAGAATATTGCACCATACACTAACTCTCTGGCTTGCAATTCCCCTGATATTTTACAATAAATGTATAAACGTAAGGTCGCGGTCATTTCTTGCCTCGGTGTAGATTTTCAAAGGACGGACAATTAATTTCCAATTCAATAAATATTATTTCGAACTCAATCCAATTAATACAAACGTCAGGACATTATTTTTTATTTATTTATCGGTAAATAATAAATTGGGGTTGTCAATGAATGAATGAATTATGAATTTCAATTCAAATTGACTTGAGTTTTTTTGGAATTAGAATCGAGGAGAACACTCGGTCAAGAAATTGTTCTTCACTCGTGAATTTTCATTTCCCCCGGTACCTTATTGAACCAAAATACGATTGGCCTCTTAATAATAGGATTAATCATCGTGGAAACGATATGCAAAGGACTTAAACATACCTCTCAGGGAGACCAGTTGTCTTCTCGGTAATGACCGTGAATCCCAAGAACTAAGAAAAGTCAATTTTGACCAGAAAAGGGGAGCGAAAGGGCCTTTTCATTCACCAAGATAATTCGTTATTTATGCCAGTGGTACAAGAGTCACCCAGACTAGCGAATATTGGGCGGAGAATTTTCTCAAAGTCAATGCAGTCAAGTACAGGCCCCAGGCAGTTATGTTATTGTAGTCCAGCAATCATCATTACGGTGCTAATCCTGTTAAGAATTTCCAAAGGGCATTGGCTCATTGTCTTGACCACCCGAACCCTGTGAATATTATTCCAACTATTTGACTTTTATTCAATCTCTCAGGGGTTACACACATTCGTACAAACTGCCTTTTGTCTCGACAATTGGGATAATCCGATTTGCAGAGACAATTCTCACGATGAGTAAATTTTATTGCAACTCGGGGATATTTCATAATTCTGTCGCCAATGGTGTCCTCGTTATGGATTTTTTCTACCTGAAATATTTCCTGGTGATTCGGAGTATTCAATTGTAATTGTGAATTTTTACTCCTGAGGGGTGGACGTTTCTAATTCTTTTCAACTCGTGTCTTGGAAAGTAATGAGTCACGGTCTCAATTCCTGGGGAATGGAGTAGTCGTGAAAGCTATTTTTTAATTTTTCAAATCAATTCAGAGTTTTTCTGACGAATTATCAGAACTATTGAGGTTTCTCTGTGTTGGTGGGCGTGAACCAACTGCACTGAGTATTGATTTGCCGTAAAGGCCTTTCCCCAAATGTGAAATATACATTGGAACACAGCCGAGTTGATTATCCGCTTAATCAAGCAGTTTAATCAGCGGCATCATTGCAACCACATCCACCCTCACCTACCTTCAACGATCAATTATTTCCCTCGGCCCTGCGAAATTTATTCGCTCTGACGTCCACTCAATATCCATTCGGTTCGAACATAAACTAGTGAAAAAAACGGGTTAACTAAAAACAATTAGCCACCAGTGATTAATTTAAATGAGACAATCCAAAAAATTCCAAGGCTCGAAAACAAACATTGAAAATATTTATCATCATTCATTATTGTCTATTACTATCGGCACGTGAATATTGATTCGATTTTTTTTTGCAAGTTCAAATGAGATTTTCGGTTTTGCTCAGTCCAGGTAGGGCAGTCGGTGCTAGAGTAAATTATTAGATGATTACGTTCACATTCATATTTAATACCTCTTACCAACCGGATTTTTTTTTCGCATTTTCATGCACCGAGGAGTTCTTAGAACTGAAAAGGTTTTCCGAATATTTAACGATCAATATTGCTGGAGCAATAAAAGTACCTCGGGGAGGGAGAGATGAAAGAGGTAGGACTATTGTCGTACGTCGTTAATTACGGTCGAGGTTTAAAGAGGAAAATGACCCCCCATCTAGGACCGGGCACATATTTTCTTTCAATTGATTCATTTCAACCGCTGGACTAATCCATTGCACCCCAAAACCGTTTGCCGGTTTTCGAGAAATATAAATACTAGAGGAGATACTTTCGCTCAAGAAACTCCACTTTACTCCATTCAGAATAAACAAGGAAATTATTTTCTTCTTCTGTTTGTCGTGAGAATAAAAATTGATAAATAGCAACTGCAAATTTGACTTTCCGGAAATGTCACTATCTTCGACGAAGTCCTCCAGATTATCTGATTCCGGAGATGTATTTATTTTGTAAGTGAGAAGGATTATCCGCCTTGTCCCTTCGGGATAATACCGAAGTTTGATATATCCGGGTAAATATTTTCAGGATTTTGCTTAAACCATTAGGCTTATCCCGTAATTACTATTGATTTAATAATTACAAGATATCGAAATCGAATGAACCGCCACAATTGCGATAATGTGATCCCCTCCAATAATTAATTCGATTCATAAAATATTCACTGTGATAAAACCGAGAGTAGAATTGCTGTTATTCTTACTTTAAGAATTGTTTCAGTCAATTCTCACTGAAACGCAAAAATTCGTGATAAAAATATCAAAGTGCGAGGTAATTGTTCGGGTACTGGATAGGAAAGTACCGCAACAATTGGAAAAGGAATTTTAAGAGCGTCATAAAAATATCTCAAATTTTATTCTAATCCTCTCTCAATCCTTGCAAATTCAAAAGGGTTGAGAAAAGGTAATAAAAAGCCCATCAATAAACCCGGGAAAACGTACCCAAACCCAGATCAATAAACGAATTTTTAATCCCTCATTTTCGAAATGGCGTGTGTCTATAAACTTTATAATCGGGTCCTTCAGACTCCCGAGGGTTTTCGTGGGGGAGAGTCAACCCTTTTTTTTTTTGCTCCAAAATTTGACCATTACCTCTCCTCCTGGGCAAGGGTTTTCACGGGAGAGAGTCAACCCTTTTTTTTTTGCACAAAATATTCTCGACCCCTTTTTTTTGCTCGGGTTTTCTCTCGCTTCGAGGAGATTACCCCGATGCTCGCCGTCGGAAAGCAACGCAGAAATACTTTCTCGGGTCAAAGGGGCCCACAAAAAAAGGGGTAGGCCCATTAAAACTGCCCAAATATTTTCCCAAACAGAAAGGAATGGCTTCATTCTGTTTTCCACCCCAAGATTTCACTCGCACATGCTGAACAAATGTCCGAAGAAAAGAGTAAATTCTGGATTTTTTTTTATTTCGCGTATCTTTAGGAACAGTTGCACAAGAAATTTCTCTGGAGATATAAATTTCCCGGTTTCATTGAAAATCTGAAGGTTACGTCAAAAAAAAGCCCCTCAAAAATTCGGAAGACATCATATAACATCAAAACAGTTTGTCGTCTCCATAAAAGTGGAGCAGAAAAATGAATACCGAGATAGAAAAGTGCTCCATATTTTTGGGGTGTTGTAAAAATATTTTACAAATTTTTGCTCTATTTTAAACGTTTTTACGAGATCCCTGGAGAATAAAAGGTCACATTTTTACGTGACCATTTATTTCAGGTATGCAGATGACTCCAAGAATTTTTTCTCTGTGAATTAATTCGATGTCACGTGTGATTCGCATAATTCTTTCAATATCGAAAAATTTGAATCACTCCAAAAACATTTTTTATCCAAAAATTGTGGCTGGTAGCGACATATAATGCAGATCTCGAAAAAAATAATGCAATTATGAAAATGGTTGACCTGAGACGTCATAATTCACAGCGAATTGAAGTTTGGTTTGAGTTTTCGGAAAAATACAACCGTAAAAATAGAGCAAAGAATGAAATGCCGGTTTAACAGGAAAAATTGGTCCCAAAAAGGATGATCCCGTTTTTCCTGGGATCTCAATGGTCAATTTCCCACTCACTAACAACAGACATATACCAATAAAAATCAATAAGTTTTCGAGAGCACGAAAATATGAATTATGACGGTTAGAGCTCTGGTACCGTTGCTCCAGTTTTGGTTTCAACATTTTCACCATTAGAGCTAACGTCAAATATTTCAATAGGCGTGGAGACCCCACAAAAGTCATATTCCATCCCAAGTCATTGTCTTCGTATGCAGGTAATCCAAAAGTCAAACCAAATTCTACCTTTCCAATAATATCATATAATTTAAAAGTTAATTTCTGGGTCATAAACTCTAATTCCTAAACAATTGAACGACGTGAAAGATTTTAATGCTGAAATTTTTACGATTTCCGAAGGGATTTCCTAGGAAAAATCATTCCCATGGTGTATTTCCAAATACAATACAAACGCCAATAAACACTTGAATTATTTAAAAAATAAATGAATTATCAATCGATAAACATTAAAAAAAATCTCGAGCCAATATAGAAATGAGTATTCAAGTTCCCGTCAATAATTTTCAATAGCTCTTGAAAATAATTCGAAATGATGAAACCAGTGGTTTTTTCCATTTACTTGAAATTTACGCGTTCGAATAATCACGGATAAGCAGGGGGTGAATTTTCTCTTCAATTTTCACAAACGGAAAAAGAAGAAATCAGGGAAAATAGGGAAAGAAACGATTTGATGATGAGAGAGGGGAAGTACGTGAGAACCCTGGAAAGGCGGTGCTCCATTGGTGGGAGTAGCCGAGGGTCACCATCAGCCAATGATGGTCCCAGCACCCCAAGCCAACTACCCCCTCTCCATTATCCCCGTATAAAATCCCGGCACCTCATTTTGAAAGCTCAGTCGCACTTGCGAAGTGAACGAGCACCATCCGGGATATCTGTGTTCTCCAGTCAACTTCGACAAGTGATTAAGTGATATTTTGAAGACTAAAAAATAGTCGGTTGTGTTCGAGTTTATCGAGGTGATATTATCGAAGATACCAATGAAAATGCAGGGATACCAAGGAAGAACCTTTGATGATGATCAGAGGAATAGAAGAGACGAGGAGACTATTGTCGTTGATCTTGTGCCACCGCAATATCAATTGAGTCCACCTCATAGTCCGCAAATCGGAAGTGTCATTCCGAAAACCCCAGAGAAAGGTAAGTCATTATTTTCTCGTAATTATTTAATTATCCGCGATCCACCCCACGCTTTTTTTTCACAATTTCAAAATTCAAAGTTTGTTATTAAATATGTCGTGTTTATCATTTAATTTGTAATTTTCAAAATCATTCTCAGAAGAGACCGTGCGTCTTCTGCTTTTGAAATTTTCAATGCCCTTGTGTATTTATTACGGGTCAATAAGGAGGGATTTACTTTATTACTTCAGGCGTACCCTTCATCAATTAACCATATTACCATTCAGGTAAACATGTTTGAATTTGGAATAGTTAGAATGCAGGACGTATTGAACTAGTGAGAGATAACGAAATGGAGGAAGCTTGAAAGATAAACGGGAGATTTCCCCGAAGTTGAGAAATAGACCGACAAAAAAAACGCAAAACTTTGGATTGTTACCTTTTAGCGGTGCGTCAAAGACACCCTAAGACCTCCCAGTGATTTCCTCTAGCCGTGAAAATTCTCCGGCAATGTGCGGTAAACCCGCACAAAAATTTGACCATTTGTCTATTGTCCCCCACAGATGCATCATCCCCAAGCAGTCACCAGTCGCAGTGTCCGCAGCCATCACTTGCCAGCATGGATCCAAACATAAGGCGTTACAGAACAGCCTTCACTCGTGAACAATTGTCACGTTTGGAGAAGGAATTTCATCGTGAAAATTACGTCAGTCGTCCAAAAAGGTGTGAACTTGCTGCTGAACTACACCTGCCCGAATCGACAATCAAGGTAAGCCCATACTTCATTAAATATCACTCCCAGTGTCTTTGATTTTACTGGTAAAGCGGTAGTTTGTTTGATCGTCGATTATAGCTTTCAAGAATTTTATGTCGGTGGGTTCTTACAACAGTAGAGTAAACACATGGGTATATATGCGCAAGGGGAGGTGTCAAGCGACTCAATTAGCAGTGGCTTTTTTATTTCGGTACATCAGGAAAAATAAATTTAAGAAACCAGGGATGAACTAATGATTGAATTTTGTGTTGCAGGTGTGGTTTCAAAATCGCCGAATGAAAGACAAACGTCAGCGAATGGCAATGGCCTGGCCGTACGCAATGTATGCAGATCCAGCGATAGCAGCTGGCCTTCTTGCAGCAGCCACAGCAGCCATGACACCATCGCCTTATCACTCAAGCCCAGTACCTGGTGGACATCTTGGTGTTACACCGAGTTATCCAACAGCAGCAGCAGCGGCCTACTATGCAGCAAGATATCATCCATATGGAAATGGTGGAAATGGCTCGTCACTTCATCGACCTCATCCACAATCACCAGCCTATCCACCACATCCTCATCTCATGCAACCCCATCATCCCCTACCACCTCTTCATCTGCCTATTCCAAATGTCAACAACTTTGTCGCCACGCCCACTAGTCAGACTGTTAATCCACCCTTGACACCAAGAGCTGGGGGTGAATACAGACCTGCGCACGTACCAGAGCTCAGTCCAGCTCATTCTGATGCATCCAGTGATTGCGATTGCGCAGGATCACTGCATCATCATCATGGACATCATCTTCAGGCTCGTGATAAGGCATCACCACCACTTAAACTGCCCGTTGGAATTAATCTTGTGGGACTTCCAGCTCAGATTCAGAGCATTCAGAGTGCATTCGAGAGCAAGCATGGAGGATACTATCATGGGGTTATTGGAACGACTCCTGTACAGACAACCAAGATCGAACCACCAAAGCTCTTCCAACCTTACAAGAGCGATATCACGGAGAAGGCGTGAAGGAGAATAATTTTTCTTCATGGAGATTGGGGTTGGGGTTGTGCAATGCAGAGTCGATAGTTAGGTTTATGAATTATTTGTAAATATTGTGGGGGTACAATTGTTGTACAGCAAATTGTATATATTGTAGGATATTTTTTATGCTTGGAGTGTAGCCGTCGCTGTGCGAATAAAATGTATAGCGAGTAGATAAGGAAATTTTAACTTCTCTTCGTGTCGATAACTTGTAGTTTATTTATTGTGACGCCAAATGTGACCATTTTTTTTTGAATCGTCTGTGTGTACATATTCAGTGAAGACAGAGGGAAATAAATATTATATATGAAAATAATCTTTTCACATTTTTCACCCGTTATCCATTTCTTTTATTTTATAAAATTGTTTGATTTATTGAAATTTAATGATTCTGTGAACATGATCCGTTGACAGAAGATTTTCATTTCTATTGTCAATTGACATGAATTATTTGGTTTGGGAGAATTTTCTGGTCTCGGTTTTTCCTCGGCGACTGATGAATCAATCAGGAAAGTTTAATCGCCCGAATTTCTAAATTGATGTTGGTATTGTGGGTGGATTAATGCGGATCGTTTAACGGTGAGGGAGGAAAGAGCTGTTGGATGTTAACACAATGGTTTTGAAGGTAGACGAGAAGGGGAGGGATTAGGTTTATAGAGAAGCGATTTAAAATGAGCAGTTGGTTGGCTTGTATCCCGAAGCTCAATTAACTCTCCCCTTCCTTCTTCCAGGGACTATTCCGCCCTGTTTCACAAGTTATCTCCCCCAATTCTCAGGGGACTATCCCCCCCTTGACATGACTATTTCATAGCCGTGAACACGAGAGGGAGGCCAGATTATTTCGGATAAACGCCTGGATGAAACAACATTCTTGGGGAAATTGAAGGAAGATGAGGGGTGATAAGACAATTTTTTTGGTGTAATTCTACGTTTAAATTTTTTATTTCAGGTCTTTGTTGCCATAAAATACTGACACAAATAATTATTTTTGTCAGCGTAAAAAATGATAACAAGATTTTCTTGGGAATTAATTTCTGCTGATTAAATTCTCGTCGTTCAGTATAAATATAATAATCTGCCTTCATCCTGGCTCTTGAAAAGGTCATATTAACGAAGAGGGGTACCTCACAGCTCCCACCCGCCCCGAGTGTTTTCCGAAAGGGTCTGGAAGTATCATAAAATCATAAAATCCCGAAATCCTCCACTGAGACTCGAAAAACGTCGCAGTATACTGAACCCAAATAGAAAACTGCTAATCTACCACCCATAAATAGTCGATTGCCGTAGCGTAAAAAAATAATCGACAAAAAATTCTCAAACATTTTTTTTCGCTGTAAAAGTTCTTTCATATGGGGTAGTATCGTAAAGTCTTTTACAAAAAATGGTGGAGTCAGTTGGCCAGACCAGTAAAAAAATTTTCCGTACATTTTTTTTCCGGATTTTTAGTGTTTAATTTTTACAGCAGTCGGGTATGATGATTTTTTACATTGACTTTTCGCTTGTTTTTTTTTTAGTATTCTACCTGAGCAATTATCGATTATACCGATTTATGAAGGGATGTAAAAAATGAAAAAATTTACCAAATCGGGGAAAAACTTGACTTGACTTGAAAATTGTTTTGTAGATCACGCCTGATTTAGCAGAACCTAAATATTTCTACGAGCTTCGCCCTGGGGGTGTCCCAAATAGACACGTGAAACATCCGCGAAAAATCAGTGTAAATAATTTTCTCGGGACGGGGTATTTTTTGTTACTGAAAAATGTACAATCTTGAGAAAAGGTACAACAGCATGACGAATTTAACTGAGGCACAATATTTGGGTGAAGGCGAGGCTGTGGCTAATTGAAAAGTCAAAACTCGAAGAAGAAAAGGGAGATGGAGGCTGAAACACGCCTTGACGTTTAGATTATAGTGAAAGCGTGGAAACAGCCACCCATGGTGACATTTTTCCTAAGGGTTTGTTGTCGACAGGAAAATTCTGCGTGAACCCCTGGAGACTTGAGTATGAAAACAAACACGAGAGAAATTCAAAACATGGAGATATCGTCTTTGATTGTCGATGAAAACCTGTCATTCATCTCCAGAAATGGGTTTCCATCGCTGGAAGTCCCAATCTGCAGGGGTAAATTTTTTCATCCATTTCGGGAAGACATTATGGCACCTAAACGCTGTAAACTGACCGAATGGGGGAAATCGTCCAAGAGAACTTTACAATATCCGTAAATAGAGTTAACACTTCTCGTCAACCCTTTGGAAGCTTAGGGTCCATTATATTGCCCCAACAACCCTTTTTTTTCTAACGTTTTTTTCCTCCGTTTGGGACCTACATTTTTTGCACCGGTTTCCGAAAACCCAATTCCCTCAACCCGTTTTTTTGACCCAAAAAAAAAAGGGATAAGTACCGCTGCGGGTCAAGTTCCCTCGCACATTTTTCTCGGTGAGTCTGAGGGAGTTTAATAAATCTTTCACACTCCTCTGGAAATAGTAAAATTAGCGAGAGATTTTTTTTTCAATTTTATGACCTGAGAATTATTCTTTATCCAATAAATTAACTATTTCATTTGAATTTTTTCTGTTCTAGGAGGAGTCGCACCACAACTTTTCCATTTTCATCATCGAGAAATCCCTTCCGACGCAGAAATCATCGAATGAGTGAGTTTTTACATTTCAATTCAAAATTTAATCGCTCGAAATCGATAAACATTATAATAACCCTACGGTAACAACAAATTCTAAAAATCCCAAGTTCTTGAGTTTTAAACTTGAAGATGTGTGTTAACGGACTCAAGCCTAATTACATAGAATTTTTTTTCTAACCTGTGGATTTTGCACTAATAAATTTCAATGGACAAGAACATAGTACACACGCGTATAACCCATAAAATTAATCGGCCGTTTGATCTCCTGTGGGACACCAATTTTCCCTCATAAACGTCGAGCCGTTGCGAATCACCCTATATCCACAGATCAATTGGCCGATCTCTCCCCAAATCTCCGCCCATCTAATAAAAACGTATTTCGATTCGATATAAATATAATAAACTTCGGTACATGATAAACTCGCGTTAAGTATCACAAATCGACTGGTTTTCTCTCTGCTACACCCAGTGAGACGAATTTAATGCATTTTTTTCGGTGGAGATGGTCTGGTCCATGCGTGGGAAGATACCGGGACGTGTGTCACCGATCGAAATCGATTAATTCTATCAGAGCAGAAATAATTATCAATATCCCCAATTCTCACAGAGGTCTTGACATTTTTTCCATGAATTTTCACTCGGAATAATTTAAATTCACAGTAAATTCATTTGCAGAAGTAATTTTTTTTTTCTCGGTGTAAACGATTGATTATCGATCGTTCGTGAGTTTAGTGGGCAATTTTCTTTGTACGAGCCCTCAGAAAACGCATTTTCCTTGAAAAATCCGGGGAGTCCACCGCAATTCAAACCGACAAGGTAAACCACGCGAAAATTCGACCTTGTCTAATTGTCACTAGACCCGAAAACATCGTTCATACAACTTACATAACAGCACATAAATTTTCGCCGTTTTTTTATTTTTTCCTCTTGGCCAACGGTGGGACCACCAGGGGACTATTTTCCTCAAGGGTTTATGTGTTTATGCTTCTACACATTTTTATGACACTTTGGACGTCTTCGTGGCTTTGCTACGGTTAATCGTTTGTAGTCAACAGGAATGTACCCGGAAATCTATCAAAAAAGCTCAGAAAATAATGTTAAAATATCGAGTAATCAGGCCCCCGAGCGGGGCCTGATAAACTGATATTGGGGGGACGAAATTCAGGCTAATTGAAAATCCACTCCCATACCGTCAAAAATATAAAAGTAATTTTTTTTTGACCACCGCGTGACTCGTACATGATTCATTATTTTTTTAAACAAATAACTGTAGAGATTGTTGAGGAAATAGTGAATTCGCCCCTCTGAAGCCAAAATTTTTGGTCATTGAGCTCTCAATTGAGTGCCTTACCTAGGCTACCTTCAGAGGCACCGAAACCCCTCATTGTAAATCTTTCCATGGTTTTATTTTGGTTTATTATCCACCGTTCCACGGCAAAATGTACCACGGGGTGTCCTACGGTGCTCGAAACATGCAATTTTAGGAAAATATGTTAGGGACCGTAACGAACAACGGAACGAAAAATATAACAGCATCCGCTGGAGTTAAAATCGGCAGGCGGAAAGTTAAAAGCTAGTTTCAGGTGCTGAAAGAACTTTTTTGTCGTTGGACCTCTCGCGTTTAATAATTACCACTGATAATTATTTATTTTTTCTTGTCGATTTATTTGGCTAATGCAAATTAATTGGGCGAGACTGTTGCGTTGTAAACGGCGGGATGACGCGTAAATTAAAAAGATGTACGACAGCCCCATAACCAATGAGAAAAGCCCCATTTCGCTGGAACGGAGGCAGTCAATAAAGGTGTAAGGCAAAATGGGTAGGCCAGGTCAAGCCAATGTATCTGAGCTCGGGGTGAAAAAAAAAGTCCGCTTAATTCCATGAGGGAACCTGATTCATTTGATCCAATATCGCGCATCGTAAATTCATCACTGGAGGAATAAACTATCCTGCGAGGTGAATTTTCTAAATTCGTAGTACACCATTAAATATATCCCAGGTGCTTCCGCTATTTTTTCCCGTTGACGTTCTTCCATCACATATTTTTCATTCCATTTTAGTACCGAAGTATAGTCAATCGCGAAAAATTTCAAGACTCAAAAATTCACCGTTGCGACATGATCGCACTTAATCCCCCATCGATCTCGAGTATTTCTGATTTATGAAAAAAATTGTTGATAACTTTTTTATAGATAATTGAATTCTCCGGAAGAAAGGGCTTTTGATATTTTCTCGTGGAATCACTGGCTTTCGAGATATTAGTCGATATTTGAGGAAATTGGAAAATTGGGAAGTTGGCGAATTGTTGCAACGGCATTTTTTTTAAATTTTGCGCTTAAATTCGTTACAGAAGTTATAAATAACCGTTCAGGCTGGAAAAGGAGGGGCTCCATTGGTTTTGCGGAGTCCCGGGTCTTCCTCTCTCACCTAATAGTGGGTTTATTATTTTATGATACTACCTTATGCACATGAAAATGCGTTGGAACTTGGGGGTCCAGTTTTACCTTTTGCTTAGGAAATCTCCAGTGTTCGACGTTTCAGTAGGTATAAGCGACCAACTCTGGGTTGGGGGGTGGGATAGAAGCGTTACAAGATTGTAAATCATGAAAATTTTGGAAGCACGGTAGCTAGCCCACGGAAACCAAAGTGTCTGGCTTCTAAACTTCTTCATCCTTCATAATTCCAACGTCACGGAAGCAAGGTCCTTGGAAAATATTTTCAGAAATGAATCAATTTCCTCAAGGACTTGTGTTTAAACGCTGAGATAATACAAAGAGAGAAATTTTTTTCAATAAAATTTACTCGGGCCCTCAGTAATCGAGTGACAAAGTGGAAATCAGACATTTTTACCGGAAAATCAGAATAAAATCGCATGACAATGACGAAAACTACAATTTTTCCATAATTTTCACTCAATATTAAATTCGAAAATCCCATCGGAAATTCCAAGTGAAAAACAGCGAATAACTACAGTCCTAAAAATATTGAGAATTCCAAACTAATTGCCAATCTATTGAGAATCCAATTGCAATTACTTTAATCTTCTAGTAATAATCCAGAAAAAGACTAGCCATCGGTGTACGTTTGCGAAAAAAATTCTCTCCGCGTAAATATTGACGTGTGAAGAATGTATTGATGGGAACAGATCAGGAAATTCAGTGAGTAAATATTACAAGAGCCACCCGCAATTTTTGTCGGTAAACAGAGCTCGTAAATAACCGAGAGGAACTCATCTCACATCTCAATAGCTCCTTTTGAGTAACTTTGAGGCCCCGTAAAGTCGCGTTAGACTCGCCCAGCGGTCTATCCGCCTCCGTCACAACCAGAGGGTCCTAATGCCCAAAAATTCGGTCCTTCCTATTCGGCTACTGAATCCATCCTCGTGGGCGGTTTGTGTATTTCCTCTCAACTACAATTAATTCGATTGAGAAATTGCTCCAGTGACACCAATATAGAGCATATGGCCCAGATTTTTATAGTGCGGGTGGATAAAGGGCCCATTCTCGGGTTAATGGAGCCTGATGGACATCAATGGACCACTGCGGCTAATTCTTCACACAATCTAATTGCCTCCAACACCTGGAGAATCCCCAGTTCGAAAACATGTGGCTGTTGAACAATTTGTCAATTGAATTCTTACTATTCCACCGCTCAACCATAAATTCACGGAGAAAAAGAGGTGAAACTCGAAGAGAATTAATGCCATAAATAAACTGGCGATGGCTATTATTTCTCGGGATCGGACAAATGTCGATGTTGGGGGAGAATGAATGACTTAAGAATTCAAGTGATTTCTTTTCAATTTTGGGAAAACAAAAATATCAACCGGATAATTCCATCTCCTCGACGAAACCGCGGAAATGGCGGAAATTATCGTGCGCCGGGTAAATACCCGTGGCAGAAAGTCTTTTTTTTTTATCAGTGTAACGAGATTAATGGGTTATAGAGTGCGAATGGAAATGGCCCCCATCGTATGTGCGGTTGGCAATCCTTCGGGTCTCAGGTGGCGATGCTCAAAGCCAATTATGCGCGAATGCCCTGTTTTCCCTCATCCACTCAAAGGCCCCCACAAGTTTAACGTGTCCGCACTATAACGGATTAACTGCCTTGGAATTTATTTCTCAAAGTTATTCCCACCCCCACACCCACCCGTCTATTTTAATTAACACGCATTCATCAGTTGGAATTTAATTCCGGGCTCATTAATCTAATTAGCAATTTTCCGGGAAAATATCGGAGGGAATTCTATCGGACAATTTTTCATCCAATGGAGATGATATTACCGGGCGATTTAATATTCAGATGCACCAGCTATTTTGCAACATTAATGTATATTTCATACCTCAAATTCTGGTAAGGATGTGGGGGAGGAAACGACCTTATCTTTCCTATTATCGATAGCTGGCCTGAGACCAACATGGCAGACTCTCTCATCGCGGCGCGTGTTGCCTTTTGTACCCGCCCACACAATTCCCGTTGCCATGGCAACCCTTCAGATATTTTCTCCAGGTTTCTCCTTCCTTCCCTCCCAAGTCCTAGGGTGCCCCATCATACGTACCATTATCGTGCTTTCTCATAAATAACAACTCACCTACTACCTCATCCCGTTTTATCGTTTCCAGCGAGAGATATACCCCGAAAAATTATTCATTTCAATCGCACATGTTGAAGAAAATTATACTTCAATCTTGAGAATTTGATACTTTATTTAACAATTTTTTTTTGTAATTACTCGGTGCCATTGAATTTTTTGAAAAGGGATTTTTCTTTATCGTGATGATTTTTGGCGCATTTCGAATTTTATTGAAGTGATAAAAATAATTATTTGGCAGGGATAATTGGAAGAATGATGAATATTAGTGATTTTTCTGAGGGAACTTAATTATTAAATTAGATAATTGAATGCAAAACGGGAGAAGCCACTTGGATGGGCTCAGATAATTGAATTTAAAATTTATGTCTCCATCCTGGATATTTCCAGGGAGCACTAGAGAGATTATAAAAAATAATCATCTCGCTGATGAATTTGCTAGGTCATAGACACCTTGGACTCATCATGTATAATACAGAAGCCATGGGGGTGACTCTCGACAAAAGATCCTGGCGAATATTTCGAGGGAAAAGGGTCGTAAAGGTGGGGTGTATGAACAATGTCCACAGGCCATTATTTATGTCCCAATAAAACTTTCCACCGAGGAGACGTACTATTTTCGGGATGGAAATACATGGACTGGAAAGAGTACAGGGACTCTGTCGGTCAAGGTTGACGTAGGTGCAACGAAATCCTCTCTTATTTTTCAAATAAACATTATAAGGTGAGAGTTTTTCCTCTCAGAGTTTTTCAATCTCCTGTGGAGACACCTCCCGAGTGGGGTTTTTCGAGTTCACGGCACGTGCCAACTCCTAGGGGGTCTCTGGACCTTGTACTAAATATTTTGGAAATATTGACCGACTGGCACAGAGACGACAGAATTTCTACTCGTTCCGCCACTTTTTCTCCTCAAGGCTGTGACGAGTAACAATTAAGTGCATTCGGCAATAATACATATCTCCTCAACATTTCAGAAAATTTACCCTGACGTTCTGGTTAAAATTACCGGAAAACGTATAACACTGAGGAAAAATTACAATTTTTCCTGCAATTTTAACTCTACGTGAGGCAAATTTTCATTCCAGTCATTCGATGACGATCGATTGCTAACTCCCAAATTATTCATCGAATCCAATATTCGTCTTCTGGATACCCCTTCATGGTCGATTCACCCTGATATTTCTAAAAGTCAATGAAAATTTCCAGTAAAACATTGCGGACAGTTTTGAGAAAAATCCTTTGGGAGGAGCACGTCAAAATATTGTGTCAAGGTTTCAGTATTAGGCATCATTGTCCCCTCAGTAGGATACAAAATTTCAGTGAGAATCACCCGTGGTGCACCTCCTGACCCGGAGACGAGGAGAATTCTGACGTCAGTTGAACAACTCCTTGAATTATTCGTATTCCAGTGAGTCAGGGAAAATACACGTCCTCAGGAGCGATGATATCTCCACGGAGTGCACGTATGTGTGCTGGATAGATTCCAATGTAATTCGGAATATATTTTTTTTTTCTCAACTCAAACTTCTTTCTCCCTGTCTCCATTTTTCGTCGTGATAAGGATGTCCGCCATTGCTTTGGAACTATCACATGGGCGAGAGATTACATCCTAGGGGTGAGGTTCCACCAGATTGAGATAGAGAATAATGGGGCAAGATCAAGATTCATGGCGTTTCTCAGGCAATAAAATGAAGCAGAGAGCATGTTAGGGGGAATTATGTTCGTATTTCGTAACTCACGATTCTACCGAATGATTATGTCGAGGGAAATGGGAATATCCGAGGAACATGACAATGAGTTTTATTCATCGATAGGAGATGACACCAGAGACTGCAGTGATTGAGAAAAATTTTACGAAATTATTTCGCAATTTTTTTAAAACATTCGCTAATCATTCGCAATTTAATCTGCAGAATTATTTTCGTAATTTCTATTGGACATCTCTGTGAGACGGATATTCGAAAGTTGTTTTTAGAAAAGAGTCGTGTCACCTTTAACTCAGAATTATTACCCAGCGTTGTAAATTATCCGGAAGCCAATCGTTTTTGGTGTTACTTTGAATTTCAGTACTTTTGGGATTTCTCTGTGGGTCAGTGGAGGAAACCCAGTGCTTTCTCCTCGATGGACAGGATAGATCCTCAAGGTCTCGTTTTTCCTCTTATGCAATATCCAGTGGACCCTGAGTAGGCCATAGCTCATCGATGAGTTATTTATTCCCCGAGCATTAACTCGAAAATTGTGAAAGGGCAAAATTTTTGAATGATGGTCTAGTAATTTCTGGATAGAATTCCCGAATAGAAGAATTGGTAAATTCCATTGGGAAGAATTGATTTTTTTTTCAATTTCATCATTGAATCCCTTTGGAATGTGCAGGATAAACTGATCTCATACAAAATTCATTGTGAATATGCAGAGGCCACAGTGTCCTGAGTGTCCCAGCCGGATCTGATGAAAGAGTAAACTCAATGGTTGCGATTCGATTTTCACTCGCAAGTATAAAATTGTCCTCTCGCTTTTTCCATGTCCTCCACCTGCAACTCTCGACTATCTCCGGACTGGAATTTCCCTCGGGACTCTCCGAATGGTTATTTATCCTTATTTCATTTATTTTTTTCAAAACTCCGAATTACACCCTCCAATTTTCCCCACTCACTCCACATTTTTTTAATACTTTAACGATATAACAAAGTATTTTATTATTACTATATACAATGAACAGGTTTTGCGTGTATCACAATTATTAAATATTCGGGATATTTTTGTTTTTACAGAGAGTAGAAATTCACCGAGATAATTTATTAATACTCTGCCCATTAAACTGAAATGGAAATTTAATGGATTCGATATTCGATATGTTATTAATTATATTAAGGGAGATTTGGCATGGGGACACGTGAAATTTCATGATTTCTTCCCCGCAAGTTCATTCTAGAAATTCAGGATCCATGAAATTTTTTATTGACAGTCAATGGGCGTGGATTCTGGATAATTAAATTGAGGAATAAATATTCGAATGTAGGAGGGAATTTCTTGAAACTGGCATTTGGATTTTTATGAATTTATGACGTATGTGATCCAGTCGACGGTTTTGGCGACTCGGTGGTAGATGCCAGGTTGTCCTGGTTGGGCACAACTGTATCCTGCCGATACAATGCCGATCAAATACCAACGTCCGGTTCTCTCTAGCATCAGGGGACCTCCACTGTCTCCCTGAGGACGAAAAAAAAAATGTTTAACCCATCAGTAATCGACTCGGTACACGTTAATTAAATTTCTCACTTGACACGAGTCTTTGCCACCCCCTCGGTACCCAGCGCACATCATCTCGTCGTAAATTACTACATTTATTCCATTAGTCCTGTGCCATCTCTCGCAGACTCTGTTATCGATCACTGGTACATCTACCGACTGCAGGGTTTTCGGTCTGAGTCTAGAGCCTGTTTAAATAAATAATTATTTTTTTAACATCTCTCTAAATCACCGATTCAAAATATTCCAAACCCTCCAAAAAAAAATCTCTCAAATCTCAAATTCCACGTACGAAATATTTTTGTTTAATATTTTTTTACTGAAACGATTTAAAAAATTATCAACATTTGCCTTAAAAAAAATCTTCAGAAATCATCTCGCTTGAAAAATTCATAATTAAATATTTTCTGTTGCTTTCAATTTGCATGAATTCATCGACGATTTTTCGATGAATCAATAATTTTGATAAATATTTCGTATCGATGGATTTCGGGTCTCCTAGGAATTCCTAGGGATACCTGAGAATCTGTCTTACCGGCCTGAAGGGCTCCCCACCCTGCAGCCCACCCGTACTGCCCCAGGAAGTCTTCATTCTTATCAGGCAGACAAATAGGCGATATGTGTGCCATATAATGAACAGGTCTGTCAAGCCTGAGGACAGCAACATCAAATCTGTCAGCCTGCGGTGTAAATTTGAAATAAGGATGAACCCGTATCTCTCGAACCCCAAAAGTATAAGCAGGAAGTGTCTCCGACGCTGAATTAACAACATAATCCCCCAGTGTCACTTGCACCTGACGAGCAGAAGCCCTGAAATATTTTTCCAATTGTTCACCAGAAGTTTAAAAAACACTGAGTACCACAATTAATTGAATTAACACTCACTTGGCCACACAATGACCCGCTGTCACCACGTGATAACGATTGACAAGCGTTCCTCCACATCTGCTCGATCCAATGCGGATGTAAGCCTAAATCAATTAAGATTTTAACGATCATCTATTCAAAGTTCTCTCCCATTCGGTGAAAATAATTCGATAATGAAGTCTGACCTGCCATGGAAAACTGCCAAACCCAGCATCATCACCACCCACAATTCTCCTCTGCGCGGTTTGTTTCGTCGACGAAATTCCACACTCTGCACAAAACAAATAATCCAATACACCTGTATATTTAAATCACTACCTGGGATCCTACACACCCCTCATGCATCAGTGCCAAATTAATCTCGAACCAGTGTAAATTATTTAAATCGTTAGACTTGGAGTAATTCACGCGTTAGAAAAGTGGATGAGATGACAACAGTCACGTGCTAGTGAATTAAATTAATCCTCGTTAAACCCTGTTAAATCATCATTAATTCGCTATAGGTCTCTCAATTCATGCAGTTCAATAATTAAAGAGGGAGAGAAAGGAGATGCATCGTTTATCTACATAAAAAAATTATAAATATTCCACAGAAAACAGTAAACCAACTGAATAAGAGATGATTGCTTTGGAAAGCTGAAGAAATTTCCAATATTTTTCACAACTCAACGGTGAAATCACTTTCGATTATATAAATATATTTTACATTTATATTTCACATCTCCCGTTTGAATATCAAAAATTAATTAATTGAAAAATGAAAGTACGGGTGAATAATTTAATCTATAGTCGTTTGAATGATTTTGATCTGTCATTTTTACGTTTTTGGTGGTGAAAAAGTTGAGATCTATCGTGCGCTCATTTCGTCTGACTTTAATTACTGAATCTCGTTACATGCATGAGGTCTTGTACGTTAACTTACGCTCGTCACTCGCTGTATCCGTAAATCCGTCCAATTCAAGCTGCTGATGCAACTGTTCTCTAGGTGCATCAACTAGATTTAAATCATTGCTAGTTTTAGGGTCTTTACGATGACAACACGCGTACATAATACCACCACAACTGCCATCCAACAGACCGGATGTCATCCAGCATTTAAGAAAAAATTCACAGCTCCTTCCGTCAGCGCACAATGTATCATCACCCTGCCACGATGGTTTTTTTTCATTCCGCGGTATTTCTGGATAAACAAGAATTTCGGATTTGCGAGAGACAATGATAATTACATGAAAATTTTATTTTTCTCTTCATCATGTACACCTGAATTACTCCAAGTCGTGGAAACATTATTTTTTGACAATCGCGATATTATATTCACAGAGTAATAACGGGAGAACCAATTAGTCACCGTGACGAAAGTTTCGCAAGTAAACAGTCAACATCCGGTTGTTTTGTCGTGAAGATATCGTCATTAAAACAAACGTAATAATTCCTCAAAAATCGGGACGTTGATTTTCCACGATTTGACACGGGAAAAAATATTTCTCGATGTATGCCAATTATTATTATTTTTTTTTCGTCGCTCGAGAAAACTTTTTCTCCCTGTGAAATAGTGAGGAGTCGATTCCGTAGATGTTGTTTCTCGTCCCTGTACTCAGTAACATGTTAGTGGGATATAATCAAGCGACTTTTACTTTTTCGGAATGTTATATGTATTATGACAGGGCAATTATCTTATCAAGCGTAAGACGGGTTTACTAGTGGTATTTACCTGTATCAACCTTGGGATAATCGTTGTAAATTTGTTTCCGGTGATCTAAAATGACAATGATGAGATAACGATTAAATACGATGAGGTATATGGTATGCACTTGGTTAGAAATTACTCCTCATTAAATTCAATTTAAACAATTCGGGTCAGGGTAGTACGAAAAAGTAAAATTCAAAGGAAAAAAGAACCTCGGAAGTCGTCGTCAACCTCTGGCGACACGTGATTGTTTGACTGGAAGAATGACGATCCAACTCCAGACCCTGGAAATGTGGGAAAGTCATCCCTGAAGATGAGCCTGGGACTTCTGTGCGCCATTACTGGTGCTGCTGGAGGTCTCCAGTATGACTTTGACTGCCTCCAGGGTGGACCTGGTATCGGGGAAAATCGGGAAATCGGGTGAACACTTCGACCACTTGGTGGTGACTCGTAGTATCCTGGAACTGGAAATCTCACGAATCTTCTCTTTCTCTGGAGAAATCCCCGGGTCGTGTCATTCACTGGCGATTGCGTAACACTGTTCTCAGTACTCGATGGCACTTGCACCTCTGTGTACACATATTCTATCATCAACAAAAATGTGATGACATACCAGCAGCACTCCTTTTTTGACGATCTCATTGTACACCTGTAGATAAGAAAAGCAAAGAAAATATTCAATAGGAGTTCGATTTTCAATCCATTTCGCGAGGTGATCTTTATTTGCCATCATATTATCGCCAATCAGGTATTTGAGTACTTGAAATTGATTTGATAAATTTTATTTAAACGGCAAAAATCGAAAATTTCATATTTCAAGATTTCCAAAATTCATGGCAATTTCCGTAAAAAAATTATCAGCTCCAAAATTCCATTTAAAAATTCGGTAACCGATTGAATCACAAAAGTGAAATCGAACGTAGATAAAAATGCAAATAGCCCCAACATATATCTAGTTTACATCACATATTGACTGAATAATGAGTGAAAGTGATGAAGACCCAGGCACATGCGGAAGTTATAGACATACGCAAATAAAAAGCGGAAGACTACATTTTTTTCTCGCTATAAAAATAAATAAACAATGAACATGGCAAATCCAGGATTCTCTCCTGAATTTCACAGAATTGCGAGTGACGCGTTATCGACCGTGCAAATTTTCGTTCTATTTAATGCGACAGCATGAATTTTTGACGCAAAAAAAAGGTTAATTGTCGCACAAAAAAAAATGCAATAAACTCGGGAAAATTCGTCGGAAAATCCGTGAGATGAGCTAGGGAAAGCGTTTGATGGATGAAACATGTTGAACTCTCGTTCTAAAGGGAAAGTGCTCGTATCTTCTTCTTTCACCTCGTCGTTTAATACGCGAAGGTGAATCACACATCCGCATGAGCAAAAAGTGGTTTATTTGACTGGTTTCGTAATACCATCCGGCAAAATATTCACGTACTCCGGATATGTGAGGCCTATGGCTTTCGCATCCACCCGAACTTTCACGAAATCTCCCCAGTTTGGTTCACACCTTTTTCCTTGAATATTCCGTGTCATTTGGATCGAAATCTCATGATTATTCCTAGATTCTTTCGGTGACCACCGATAATTATTCCTCTTCCTTTCTCCATAGTTATGTAACGGGGACCGGGTGTCAATGCACCGAAGGGACGATGATGACCTCGAGTTATTCAATAGGATGGATCTCACAGAAGATCCGTTAGAAAAACGAAACATTTCGTAACTTAGAAGCACCAGAAATTCATTTTCCCTCTCTCAAAATATATTAAATGCGACCAATGAATTTTTATTTATATACATTCTTCAACAGATCGGCTTGAATGAATTCCAATTTTCCAATCAATCAATTTTCTTTTTGTTTATGGAATATCTATCTCTGGCAATGAATTTCTCCACTACCGCGGATATACCATAACCAATCATAAAATATATCCAATCATCTCGTCAGTATCAGAACCCAACCAACTACATCAATAGTCCACTTGATTTCCAATCCCCGACATTTAATATTTCACGCTTGCGCACTCTACCGTTATGTTAGTGGGTCATTGGCTTAGCAATACACCCGTAAAATACCCACAAAACCCACGTTAGAACAGACAGGGAGTGAAAGTGCAGTGGTGCACACGATTGCGTCGTCTTCTCCACAGAAAGTCCACGATTTGAAGTTCACGTTCACGTTCACCCGTTCGCCTCTATCATTTCCCCCCCACGTGTGAAGAGGAGGGGATGGGGCAGAAAGTTCAATGCTGATCAAAACACACGATCTCCGTATTTACATCAAAAAAATCTCTCCACCTAATCACACTATTCACTTAATTACTTCACTAGTTTATTCATTATCAAATTAAATGAGCGATTTCCCGCTGTCAGATGCGAACTTTCACCTCGAGGTGCTCTCGAGAGTCGCGGGATTTCTTAAGATCTTATTTGGATTTCCCTTATCTCTCTGACTGGTTGAATGAGGAATTTATTTGTCGAGTCATTTACATTTTACCTCAATCAATTGTCGATTTTTCAACCGATTTTTCAACCGATTCCACAGAGTCAATTTTTTAATACCGTTTATCAGACTGGATCCTTTCGATTTTATTTGCCCTCCCCCTGAAAAATTGAATTTTCACCTTCTGTAAAAACCGGTCCGAAGAAATCGCATCTTTCTTTTTTTTTCCTCCCCTCCCATCCCTCGACGTTGATGTGGCCTTGAAACGACTCTTCATGCTCCAATTCCCTCATCTCTCTGATTCCCCACCCCATTCAATCTCTTCACACTCTCGTCACGAGTACTTTCCATTGTGTAATGGATTTTTATATCTTTACCCCCATATACGTAAATCGTTTCACTCCAATGCCGAAACATCACTTACTCATGTAAATCAAATTCAACCGTAGAAAAACCTCTTCACGCTCAATTATCCAAGCAACATCTCTCTTCAACAATAAAAAAAAATCTTACCAAATGAAAAATCCAAACTTCCAAATCTTCACCAATTCCTCAAAATTTAATCGTGTTCTCAAATTCCACTGTTCACATCAATTCATCCCCACAATTTTCAATCGAATAACAGTAACCCAAAAACTTCACTCTCATTTTCTCATTTTCTCCTCTTCATCACCGAAAACAGCTGATGGTTCCACTTATTTTATTGAATTATATTCCCCTGTCATTTTGCTCAGGTCGGGAGGGAATTTTTAAATTAAGGGATAAATTTAAAATTTGAATTTTGATATTGAGTGAAAAATCGTTGTGTGATGTATTTGGCTTTTGGGTTGGAGTCCAGGGGCCGGTGTTGATCTTCAACGACTGGCGCCTGGTTAAAAGCACATTTACACTCGTTACTCTCTGAAAAACCTCACGTTCCCCATGCCACACCACACAACAACTGAGTGCCCAACGTTAAACACAAACCCGTTGCCTCCTAGCTCTCACTTTCTCCGACGAGTTTGTAGTTTCATTTCGGTTTTGTAAAACTCTCTCGGCTTCATTTCTCCCACTCCTAACATCATCTGGACTTCGCCGGATTTTTCCATCTGTATCGTCAGTTTTTTTTTACAACTCATCTCCTCAGGATTACCATAATAACTCATTGAACTCCAATTAAATCATTCATCTCATGATTTTGTTGCACCACCCCATGGGCAACCCCCCAACCCATCAGTAAAATCAAATCAATCGAATTAGTCATTTTAATCAATTAATTGTCTATCTCGAAAAATTTTTTAGAGCGAATTAATTTTTGGAAAAAAGAGGTGCTTTGATATTTGATCGTGGAGTAGATAAATTTTGAGGGAAATGATCCCTCAAATGTAATTTCAACAATTGTAAGTGAAAACGCACGATCTTTAATCATCTGCTCGACTAATTCCCGAGTTATCTCATGCAAGAATGAATTAACTCGACGTAACAATTGGAAAATCGAATGCCAGTCTTGAATAATGTCCCTCAAATAACTTGCGAAATGATCCCCAAGTTTCCGCATTTGACCCGAATCTCAACATAAATCCATTCCTCCATGAAATTAGAACTGAAATAATTCCCGAGTAAATTACGTTACACTTTGTTGATCATTGCGAAAGATTAAGTAGTAAATAATTTTTCTAAAAGCCTCCATTTTTTTTCCACAATTTTATTGTTATGGGCAAGGAAACGCGTTTGAGTTGCGAAAAATAATTGTTTTGAGGACATCTGGAATCTCCTTTGTCCGCCTCGGGCCGTAACGAAAGTGGCAATTCTCTTCAATTCTTCTCACTTCCGCTGACTCAACGATAATTCCTCAATTTTTCCTTCATTTTTTTCATATACCAAATTCATTTTTTCGTTTACCCTCAGGCCTTGGTGAACGGTCGAGTTGAAATAAGAATTTGACATAACTCTTTCGTAGAACAGTCGTTTTATTTTCACGCTCCCGTTCGAACGAGACAATGAGCCGATTTTTTTCTTATCTCTCCCTTCAAAAGGAGAGAATTCTTCGGCATTATCCTAATGGTTATTGTTTTGAATGCGGATATTGTCTGAAATGAGAACGGAAGTCGCTATCGTTCTCTCGAAAATCTCCAGTAAAGATTCAGAGTAGAAAAAAAAATTGAATTAACGCACGTGATGAGTTAGACAAGCCATTTTTATAAAATGAAAAATCGCTTCGTTAGGAAATCCCTATTTTTCAATAGTGAGTTCATCTCTTGACTGGCGCACATACCGATGTTTACCCCAAGAATTGAAAATAAAAGTGCTCGAAGTTAACCCGTCGGATTCTGATCTGGTGGTACTTTCCAATCAAGCCACATCCGGTTTTATTCGTTCTTGACGACATCGAGATATGCTCAGTCAAGATCAAGTGGAAAGTTGAAAAAAATCCCAGTGACTTCAGCATCGAGAGGAAAAAAAAAATTCCAAAACAAGAAAATGAATACCTCCACGAGTGAACCGCCAAATATCTAGAATTACCGAGTTACGAGATGATGTGAATTAAATACTGAAAAAATCACGGGTCTAGCTCCTTTCCTCTGAACGAGATCATGATAGGTGTAATAATGCTTTTGAACTTTCTCCGGTATCCAAACTCTCGAAAGTCATGTGTTACTACTTCTTTTTTCTCCGCATTTTGATATGAAAGAAAAATTCACGTGTTCAATACGCCAAAGCAAAACAATTCCCCAAAATTATTTATAACGAGATTAATACTATTCCAACAAATAAAAATTGATTGTCAGTAATTTCCCGTTAATTCCAGATGAAGAATCACGTAATTTTACGATAAGACAAATAGAAACTGATAATTGCGGAGGTTTTTTTTTTTTCTCGGCAATTAAATACCTCAAAGCCATCTTTAACAAGCCATAAAATATTTAATGCCATGAATTATCCTAATGTCGTCTTCAGACAATGAAAAAAAATCCCCCGATGTCGCTCCTACACACCAGAAGTCCGCATTACTTTCACGAGTGAACACTATCCGCTCAGATTCTCCTGGAGTAGACAGCCGCTCTTTAAACAGAAAGAAATGGTTGTAAAAAAAAAACGTCCAGCAAAGAATAAAGACAAAAAGAGAAGTTCTGTCGACTCCTCTTACTTTCTCCCGTGCTGTACACAGATACCAATACGAAAAGTAGGTCCCAAATACAATCAAACCAAGAAATTCAATGGCTCGTATGCATTCACATAACACTGTTCATCCCAGCGTAATTAGAAATTTTAGTCGAAAGCCGAGGGATTTATTTATGTGCGTGAGAGATGTATTTATCGTTATCCTACTCTTTTTATTTTTTTCCCACTCTCATCCTCGCTGAAATAATTCGGGATTACGACCTTGAAAACCTCTTTATTTTTTATTAAACATCGAAGTCCCTTTTTCCCCGGGTTTTTCAAAATTTTCCAAGGGCGCGTCATTTAATTAGACACGAGGGGAAAAGCTCGTGGAATTTATAATTTTTCCGGCAATTCCTTTAAAATTCCAATTTTTTTTATTAAAACCTCAATTTTTAATAGAACCAGTGGGACTCAGTGGGAAATTTTTAATAGTCCCTGAATTGTTTTTATCAGAAGGGGATGACTTCGCTCGTCACATGCTCCAATGCCGACTCGTTTTCATTAGTGAAAGTGAATGACACGTGACGATACTACAGAATTGAAAGATGTTGAGTTATTTGATTCTGCTTCCTCATGAGATCCATTAAAAAATAGAGAAAATAGATTTCCACTGGAGATTGATTTATTCAGAAACTGTGGCAGCTTCCGAACGCCTGAATAACGAGATTGATTGATGAAACAAAATTGAGTTCTTAATTCTGTTCAAATTAATTTCTTACGAGTCCCTCAACTGAGCGTTCAAATAAATTCACTGTAAAAGTGAGTTGATCTGTTTTATTCAACAACAAATTTTCATAATTCATTTAAAACATCCAAAACTTTCGCTGGACTCTTTTAAAAAAAAAAATCCCACTTCCCTGCTCCATAAAACGTAAAAGATATTAAATCACAGGGGTATGACTAATGGTTAAACTATCATGTCTCAACCACTTCTCTCACTTTTAGATACAAAAATGATGTAGAGCGCTGCCAAAATTGTATTGCTTTTGAGAGAAAGAGTTACATGTATTTTCGATATTTATATATCAATATTAATACTAATTAATAATTCCAAGAATCAACACTAGATTAGACTATTTCACAGATATCTGTAGAATTGAAGAGACAATATTACCTTCAAAACATTTTCGCGACGGACTTCAATCTTAGATTTTATCCGAAAATTAAATACATTTTTTACTTGACTAGTATCAATTTTGGTTTATCGATGAATTCCTCGTGAGGAAGAGTTTAGCGTGCCTTCTGGAAAGCCAGTAGTGAATTCCAAAGAGAGACAAAACGATTTATTCCGCATTTCAAGCAGTATTCATATCTCGCGTCATATTTCCTCAACTATTTCTTCATCATTTCCTTTGAGTTAGCACTGGCTGCCTAGAACACAGATTATTTAAATTCATTATAAAACACTTTTACTTTTTAATAATAAAACCCTGTTATTACTCCAATTATCAGGAGAATGACTTGGATTTTCCGTTCATTCACTGTTAATGTATTTTTTCTACTCCAGCGGCTTCCGCTCTATTTAGAATTGAAATATCTAAATAAAAAACTAGATGTTCACAGTTCGATGGCAATCCACGATTTTATGGATTTTATTTACCAGAGAAAGATATTATTTTATTCATGAAGGTGAAAATTAATTTTTCAATTAATATTTACCGGATTGACACGGAGTCTTGCTGTCATTGTCCTCAACTAGATTGTCATCATTGCCATCATCGTACCCATTGTCGTAATAGATCTGCTCAATTTCATAATTTTGTTTATTACGATGTTGATTGGACCTTCGGGCACGGTCTAGATACCGCAGAATAGCCTCTAGTCTGCTGAGCGATGTAAATCGACTTCCACCAGTTGATTCCTCATCTCCAACTGGTCCACGTTTTCCATAACGACTGCCGAGGTAGAAGCGATCAGGTCGCGGTGATATCTCCACTATTTTCGATCCTCCACCCGATGTTTCATCGGAGTTTGGAATGCTTCGGCCGTATCGGCTTGGAAAGAACAGGGGCCGCTTGTTAGACTCTGTCAAAATGTCTTCAATCAATTCTCCCATCAAAGTTCAAATTCATAGGAAGTGGCACTCATCAAAATATTCCAAGACTATTCATCCCCAACTGTCGGAAATTAAAGATAAATCCCCCACAAAGCCCCCGCGATGATGGGGTCTAATTGTAGCCTGGACCGTGCGAAATCAGAACTGAGGATTCGATTCTCAGTGATTTTCACATTTCCATTTGTTCCTCTGACCGAGAAAAATTCCTCAAAGGTTTCGAGTGTCTGGAACCCGCTGGTTAAATACAGGGCTGCGAGCTTTCCCATCCACGCAATGTCACAGGTGTCGTTACAGGGTAATTAGGAAGATTTAATTAATCCTCAACCGCACACCAAACAGAGTGATTTCGCACGGTGGCCTTTTATAAATTTAACTCACCTGGACGTGACTCTTGACGTTTTCCGTAACGTCCTTGTGTGTAGAAATTATTATCCGCCAAGATGACATTCGTGAGCAACAGGACAATCCAGAGACACGCTATAGGGTCCACAGCAAATGTTGAAGACATTCTTCCACTCGGTAAAAAGACTCGTACTGAACCCCAAAAAAAAAGCGTTCATTCCCTTGTACTGACCCTTCATTATATATTTATCCGGTCGATTCATAAATTATATATTGGCATATGAAAGTAGCTGGGGGGGAGGAAACACATTCCGTGGGTTATCTTTTGGAATCTTGAGGTGAGAACGTGGTTTATGGATGAGTCCAACAGCATGAAGACAGAATTTATTATTAATGTTCACCGGTAAAGTGGGGAAAAAAAATTAACAGAGCAAAACCCAGAGGCATTAACTCGAAATTCATTTCAATAATTTCACTGGTTCCACCCGGCTATTTCTACATATCAACAACATCAATAATAATGCTAGTATTTACCTGATTTTTTAACGGATGATTCGATCATTATAAGCTTTTCTTATCCACCGAACATTTCAAACTCTCTGGAGAAATTATGAGTGCATGGAATAATTAATTAATTAACAACTCGGGGTGGCGAGGGAAATTTTACGATTGAATGAATAGTGGGACTAATTTGATTGCCGGATGTAAAATAGAGAATTAGTGGAAATGAAATATTTTTTAACAACTTACGTAGTTAAGAGAGATGAGGGCATCCAAGGGGGTGAAACGACTCTGGGATCCTCTGGCATCGGGTAGAGCTTTATATACTCACGGGTAGTCCGCCCACAGTCATGAAGAGGGGTTGACCCCTCAGGTTTTGGGAGGAGGTGAGGGACATGTGACAAATTGTAAATTTCCCCACTCCAAAACACCATACATAACGTATGCCTCAAATTCTCACAAATTCCTCTCAAAATATCAATTTCCCAAATTAGCTCAAATTAATCAGTAACTCCCTGAATCATCCCCCAACCCCCTCTCCCCCCCGAAAATTGAACTTCGATTATTCGTCAATTTGCATCACAACGGGGGTAGATGACAATCAGGAAATTTCCTTCTCTCTCGACAACGAGATAAATCATTACCCCATGTTCAAACATAAATTAACAGTTCCCCCAGTCCAATAACTCATATGATAACTGACTGTGAAGTACAGAAAAATAGTTGAGTCCAACGAGAGTGTAAATCACATTTTGTATAAATAAATTTCATATATTTTGGGGGTAAGCTTTTTTTCGGCTGTCGGGTGTGAAGTTTTTTTTTTCATTGCTCTCATGAAAAATTCATTTAAAATATGTGATATGATCCTTTGACGAAACTCGTGGGTGATATTTTCGATTTGCTCTCCATTCCGTGAGAATAATTACACATAATTGTGAATCACTTTTTTTACGGCTAATACGTACTGTGTCACTTTAACAAACAAAAATTAATCGATACTAGTTATTACATCGAGCAATCATTTCGAGCATTTAAAATGTCCTCTCGAGTGACGATATAAACAATGGGCGACTCCCAAAAATGATTTGGATTTTTTTTGGCTGATGTACGACTGTTTTTTTCATACATTTAAGGATGTACTATTATATTCTACACAGCTGACTACACAACGGCCTCATTTTATTGCTTCCACGTGTTTTTCGGCATGTAGCCGAATGGTGTCGATACCGATTCATAATTTACACATTTGATATTTTTCTATGATTTTACATTCATGTAAAGACACTTGCTACATTTGTAAGGCCGAGTATTTCGACACGTGTTATTCATTTCTGCTATAGCTTTATAAATGTTAGTTCACGGATGTAAATTTGTCACTTCCTTGTCTGTATACAATAATTACATGAGCTTTACTTATAATTACATGATTGCTCGATGTAATAACTAGTATCGATTAATTTTTGTTTGTTAAAGTGACACAGTACGTATTGAATAATCTTCCCAAAATAACAAACAGTAGATTCGCGCACGTAAAAGGAAGCGTAAAGGCGTAAGTGTGCCGCACAGTTTGATCTAATTAATTAAAAAATGATAAAGTGGATTCAAATATTTTTTTCGTGACGTTAATCTCAGGGGAGCTCTCAGCTGTTACCCCAGTTCTCGAGCAACACGCATTACTCCTATCTTTTTTACTTGTTGCGTGTGATGTGTACAATATTCTAGTTATTTCGCTATTTATGACATCAAATAACTCAGACCTGTGGATAATAGTTCCGATAACAATGCCATTTTTCCAATACCCCTCTTTTGCCATTAGAAAATTTTTCCGCGGTCCTTGATTGATCCAATGTGTCAAACAGCTGCGAAATTTCTCGCTGCTCCACGGATTTTTCGTTTCCATTATTCCATTATTGTTCTATTATCTTCCAAATTCGTTCTCCGGATTAGAAATAACAGCTGGGAATTCTCTGGGGCTCTAGAAAGGATTCAAGGGGGTAATTGAGGGTGACTTGAGGCGGAAAACAACGAAGAATGTCTAACATGGGGTACTGTCTCATTTGTCAGAGAGAATCTTTCGTTTCCTGATTGTAATTGAAGATTTGGATAATTCAATTATTTATCACGCGAAGAGAAATTTTCCATATCAATGAATTTTTATTTTTTTCTGCTCCAAAAAATTGGAGAGTGTTCCATTCACCAAATAAATGCCAGAATTTCCTTACAAATCCCGATTCTGTAATTTGATTCGAAAAAATATTTCCCAGAAATTGATGGAATATTATTTCAACTCCCACATTGCGGTAATTCCATGTAATTATTATTGAGGAGTGTTTATCGATTCTCGATTCAGTGAAAAAAAGGGCAGAGTGCTTTTCCAGTGAAATTATTCGATAATTCAGATTAGAATCAATTTAACGAAAGAGAAAATTAGTCTGAAAATCCGCATTTCGTTGATCACAATCTCCCCCATTACCAAAATCAACAGATGATAAGAAAATAGATAATTAAACTCTTTGAAGTGACCGCCGAGCGATGAATGAAAATTGTGCATTTGTGCATGAAGATAAGTTGCATTTCATTTAATCCTGAAAAAATGGAAAAATTCGAGATCAAACATCTGTCCGGGTTTTGCAATTTCGGTGTTATCTATCGATTTCAAATAATTAAACCCCCACTATCCCCACCCACGTGACAGTGGCCTCCTAACCTCCAAGAGGTCTTCAAGACTATCAACAAAGTGCAAATTCTCGACGAAGAATTCCTCCATTTAATATTCATTATCACGATGATTGTGTCACCTCTGATCAAGATCTCTCGGTCAATTCGTGGGAAAATTGCCTATAGCCAGACGGTAAGTATTTTCAATTACTTCAGATCTCTTGATTCACCTCACAAAATTTCACTCAGCTCTGCATATTTACTCGCATTATTTGAGTTTATCACCACCTCATTGAATTTAATTTATTTTATGTAGCTGTAATTTTTTTTTAATTCATACCATTGCATTTGATTTTTTTCTTAATAATTCAAGCTATCCAGATATTCGACAAAGTCGAAGAAATCTGAGCCTGAGATTCCCAGGAATGAGCTGGAGGGATTATTCAGTGCTCAGTACCAACCGGATAAAGGAAAAGTTTATGATAAAAAACCCTTCAAGCTGAGGCTTGAGGGGGGTAGGAAGTACTCCTGGTGCACCTGTGGTCAGAGCAAGGGTCAACCCCTCTGCGATGGCACCCACAAGAACATCTTCCTCAAGATCAAAATGAGGCCCCTGCGGTTCCAGGTCAAGGAGACCAAAGAGTACTGGCTCTGCAACTGTAAGCAGACGTCTAATAGACCCTTCTGCGATGGCACACATCTGAGGGAAGATATTCAAGCTAAAATCAAATAATATGTAACGAGTTACGAAAATTGATTACTGTAAATAAATTCAAATGAAAAAATATAATTTTTCTCTACTCATTTCATCGAAATATGATTTTTTAATGAAATCCAATTATTTCATTAATCACCCATTGATTTTATATATATTCATATATATATAAAATTTATTACAGCCTGTGGGTAATGATTAAAAATTTTGGAATAGAATTTCAAAAATCCCGCGTTACGTCCGCACATGCGTACAACACTTGCCTCGTCAGTGCATTTCTAATTGGTGAGACATCCCCTCTCACTGAAATTTTCAAACACAAGAACCCGGAAAACGCGTCTGTTGCCAACGCATTTCCAACCGTCAAATCTCCTCGTACGAGTCTGTCATTTTTCGAGAAAATATTTTCTTTTATTATTCTACGAGTGAACTGGACGTTCTGTGATAATTCCCCAAATATCAAGAGGAGCTCTGCAATAATGAAGTCATCGTAAGTAAATTTATTTCCTCGATGCACTAGAAATATCGCAGGTTAGATAGACTTGACATTCGTGAACTCCCGCTCACCGATTGCTGGAGGTGTTTTTCACTTTTCCCTTTTATTTTTAAAATAAATTTTTTTCACTTCCAGTCGTCCAAAGCCTCCGCTGTCAGCGCGAAAACCAGCTCGCCCTCGTTTTCAAGTTCCTCACTCAAAAGATCCAGTCCAGGTATATTGCAGAGTACGTCCCGTGCAGAGTCCTTCGGACATCTCCTGCATGAATGTAATCTCCCCAACGACAATTCTGATAACGCCTCCAGAATCCTCCACGAATTTTCGCTCGACCACAAAAGAAATCCAGACAGTTTTCACAAAAGTCTTCACACCAGACATCAGTCAACAAGAAATCTTCAGCGACGTGGCCCTTCCCCTCGTGGAGAACCTCATCGCCTCGAAAAATGCACTGCTCTTCACCTACGGTGTAACAGGCTCAGGCAAGACCTTCACGATGACAGGAGAGAATGGTAACTCTGGCATAATGCCCAGATGCCTGGACGTCCTCTTCAACAGCATCTCCTCGTATCAAGCCAAGAAATTTGTCTTCAAGCCTGACCCATTCAACTCGTTCGAGGTCCAAAGTGAAACAGACGCCATGCTAGATCGACAGTCAGAGCTGCATGCAGGTCTGACGACCCCCAGACCCCAGAAAACGAAATACAGACGTCAGGACAGTGATACAGACAGCAACCCCCCACTTCCTCGGTCTCCAGACGAATCTCATTCACTTCCTGTGGATGAGGACAGCGTCTACGCTGTTTTCATAAGTTACGTTGAGATATACAATAATTCCGTGTACGATCTCCTGGACGAGGAGGAGCCTAAGGGGAAGACTCTGCAGTCAAAAATACTCAGGGAGGATGGCAACAAGAACATGTACGTTCACATGGTGACGCAGATCGAGGTGAAGAGCTCTGAGGATGCCTTCGAGGCGTTCAGGAGAGGTCAGAGAAAGAGGAGAGTGGCTCATACTGCACTTAATGCTGAATCCTCGAGGTCTCACTCGGTTTTCACAATTAGACTGGTTCAAGGACCCCTGGACAGCCAGGGAGAAAACGTTGTCGATGATAAGAGATTGATTTCTATATCTCAGCTGTCTCTGGTGGATCTGGCTGGCTCAGAAAGGACCAACCGGACCAAGAACACTGGACAACGTCTCAGGGAGGCTGGCAACATCAATAATTCGTTGATGACGCTTAGATCTTGCCTGGAGATCCTCCGGGAAAATCAGACCTCTGGATCGAACAAGATTGTCCCATACAGGGACTCAAAACTCACACACCTCTTCAAGAATTATTTCGATGGAGAGGGCAGAGTCAGGATGATTGTGTGCGTTAATCCACGGTCCGATGATTATGATGAGACAATTCAGGTGATGAAGTTCGCTGAGATGACGCAGGAGGTTCAGGTTGCTCGCCCCACTGTACCCAAGATCGAGCTTGGGTTTACACCGGGGAGGAGACAGGCTAATAAAATATTCAAGGAGGCTAGGAGCCGATTGGAGAATATGGGGAGACCTGAGGCTGCGAATATCGATCTTGACTTGGGGCTTGTTTATTCACTGGGTGGACCCTTTCCTCCTCTGGAGGTCAATAATCCCCATCAGGACGAGATAATTACAACTCTCATGAGATTTTTGGAGCACAGAATTGCCAGGAGGAATTTGCTCAGTTCTGATCTAGAGACCAAGCAGAACGACTTCAGGAAGATGCTGCATGGTCTCGAACAGGAGAATATGACATTCAAGGTTGAGAATGCCTCGCTGAAGGCAGCAAACTGTCAGCAGAAGAAGAAACTTACTACCCTCGAGGAACATGTGTACAAAACTGAGAGTCAGATTGACAGTCTCCTGAGAAAACTCAATACTGCTAATGAGACAATTACAAAGCTGCAGGTGGAGTTGAAAGACAAAGATGTATGTCTCAATCAGAGGCTCATTGAGAAGCAAAAAGTGAAGCAGAGGTTCAATACAAAAATGCAGCAGGAGACGGATAAAATGAATAAAGAGCTTGAGATAAAATTGAGACAGCAGAGGCTCAGGATGCAGAGCCAGACGAAAGCCACTGAGGATAGGCTGAGGCTCGTCAAGAAAATCCTCGACGATGACGGGAATATTATTGCGCCTGTGGAGATGGAGAGGGAGGAGAGGATACCTGAGACTGTCTCTGGGAAGATTGCTGCTGCTGATGGCAGATCGAGGAGGGACAAAGTACCTGTGTCCAATTTGAGACACAGGAGGAGTCAGAGTGCTGATCGCTGGGTGGATCACAGACCTGGGGCATTGGTACCTATTGGTACTGTTCTACAGCCTCTCATGAGGAGGAGAAGAAGCATCAGTAAACTCACGGATCCCAAAGAGATTACTGATGGCGCCTCCAAGTATTGTTTGATCGCCCAGGAACAGGACACCGATGGCGAACTGGAGACAAAACTTTATAAGGGAGATATTGTGCCCACAAGTGGAGGAGGGGCTCAAGTCGTATTCAATGATGTTGAGTGCCTTAAACAGATGTCCCCAACTGCCAGGAGAAAGAGGAGTGGAGTCAACGGGGATGAGAGAACAACTGAGGAGAATGGCGATAGTAAGAGACCCAGAGTTTTTAATTAACTCACGAATTCTTCATTTTATCGATGGTTTTACCATTAATTAGTCCATTAATTTGTGCTTAACGACATTTGATAACTGTTTGTAATAATATTTACAAAAATAAATTAATCATTATTTAATTCGTAATTTCCTTTATTATCTTCATGTCTTCTTTCAGTTTTTTTATTCGTTAATTACTAGAATTCCTGGGCAGTCGAGCCGGAATATTAACGACTGAATACTGAATATATATACAACAATTTATTTATCTTACGACATTTTTCGAATTTTTAGTTTATTGAAAGAAATCTTTCGATTTGGTTTTGTTTCAACTGTGTCTCCGTGGTTATCGTGAAAAATTGAGGGGTCGTATTGTCGCTGAAGTAGTCCTTTAGTGGAGTATATCATTTCAATTGAAATTTTTTTCATTACTTCGTGTAAATAGGTGAAAAATAAAAAGACAGTTGTTGATATTTTCATCTCTCTTTTTAACAGCAAAAATAATAGGACTCGCAACCGTTGATATGGATAAGCAAAGAGTGAATAAAGTTTTTCGTACAAAAAAGGTGGACGTTAGAAAAACAAAAATGATAAAATTTCTTAATTCAATTTCTTAACTCTAGGACGCAAAATAGAAACGATTGAGCGTATTTTCGCATTTTTCCTTACATCTGAATATTTTATCAATTATTTTTCTGTGTTTTAAACACACAACCAAATGTTGTCCTTGAATTCTCCGGATGATAACAATTTCGAAGAGAACAATAGAAAAAAAAAAATAAGAACTGCAAGAAGAATTAATTAGACGCGAAATAAAAATTGAGGACTAGATAGTGTTTTCACATTAACTCTTTAAAAAATAAATTTTATATTAAGTTGGGGCATTTATCGATTTTACTTCTCATGAATTATAAAAAAATGATTATCGATAATAGCTATGATTAATAGTTTCTTTTTTTTTCTCAATAATTTCAAAGGTCATAACATTAATTCTTACTGTATCATTGATTTGTTCCAAAATCTCTTTGTCTTTTCGGCTCTCAAACAATTCTCTCACACCAATCATCAATTTATTCCCTTTCCACCAAGTGTTTAACACTCAAAGCTAAAAAAGAACATTAATCACAAGAGCAAATACGGAAATTGTTATTCGTTCCTCGTGTGAATGTGAAGAAACTCGTGGTTATCAGTGAGAACATGAGATAAGCATTTGATGGCCAATGATAACACCTCGACCAATCATTAATTCAGTGATTAAATGGCAAAACACCGACTCATCACTCTCACGCAAGACATCCCCTCGGTCTCCCTTACTCGATAGCTTTACTCATGAACTCGATGAACCTCTTCCCATACTGTTCAGGATCACAGGTGGAAATTCCATCGACATTAGCCCCGTATTTAACAGTTTTCGCTGCCTTAGCAGCTTGCTTTCTCACTCCATAATGCGTTAGAACATCAATAATCGCGAGAAAGTATATCTCTTTATTGGGTGCACCTTCCTTGCTGGGAATAGCGTAAATATCGAGCTCTGGAATGATGGCATCATCATACTGGAGACTAGCATCCCTCATGAGGGCAGCATGGGGTGACTCTGGAGGTGTTGTCATTCCAGTGACCCCGGACCATCCCCAGAGTCTGTCAACAGGCCCCCTCGAGTCCAATCCACTGCCAGACTCACTGTCATCCTCGTCATCGTGATTCTCTTCGTCCTCCTCCCTCTCAGCCCTTTCCCTGTTCTCTTGCTCTGCCCTCGCGCAATCGTGAAGCCCAAGGAGAAGTGAATAATCCATCAGGTGAAGCCTCGTCAGAAAATCCACGTCTGCTGTTAGGGTCTCTATGAGCTTCGATTTCGCCTCCTCACCGATGTAAATCTTCATTCCATCCTTGACAAAATCGTTGTCTTTGTACGTGGGAAGATCCTTCTCTTTTTCCTTGTCTGAGGCCTCTCGATCCACTGTTGAACCCTTCAGGTCGAATTTCTTGTGCGTCGTCAAGTGATTTGAGAATACATTTCGAATAGCCACTACATAGTGCTCAACTCCATCCACTGTTAGTCGATACATTCCCAGGTATTGGGGTAGAAGGGTTTTTCCATGCCTCTCCACTATGTACTGGAAGCAAAATTTTCATGTAATTCTCATGAAAAAAAAATACATCTTCCCAAAATTCCTAGAATAATTTCTTACTGGATGGTAATGTTTGAGGAACGAGTGCATTCTCTCCACCTCCTCACTCGTCATTGTCTTTATAATAAATAATTTGTCATAAGACTGATAGAACTTGGCTCCACTTTTCCCCGACGAATCATCCAGCGTTGGCTGTGACCTAAAATCAAATGTTCAGTCTGAAAAATCGAGGATTACCCCGGTGACACAATAATGACAGGATAAAGCGTTGAGTATCGATTTGTTTACGAGATGACCGATGATATCATCGATGTGAGAATGAAAGTGGATGAAGTGGATGTGAACAGCGGGTACAATAAAATAACACACAAATCACACGAATCGATGTTTGCATGTGATTAAATAATGAACAAGCGAAAGCATTTGCTGATCCATCAAGGACTCCAAATGAGTATCCAGGTGCTCTCCACTGTTTTTAATACGTGATACCATGTGTTTCTTCTCTATCGAATTATAAAATTTTTTTATAACGTTTGATATGTCTCCTCACTCCAACATTATTGGATTTTTTCCCTTCATAATTATGAGTTGATTTATGGTCGCGTGGCTGTGGGCGTGTTACAATAATTATATGCAAGTTTTCTAGTCTAGGTATAAACGTGATCGTAGTGTTAGTACTCCGTGCAGAAAATCCTTCTGTTTTTTATTGTTTTTACTTGAAAAAAATCGGATGGGTAACTCAGGAGTGAATTGGTGAAACGGATAATACGATTTGAAAAATTCCTCATTATCATCAAAATTAATCACAAGTCTTCTCGATTAATCAAGTGATGAATAATTTTCATTTTAGTTGTGTTTATTGCAATTATTCATTTCGTTAGCCACACGTAAAAAAAATATAATGTGATGGTAAAGGAAAATAATTGAATGAATAAATTGGCAGTAATGAAGAAACAAAAGCTCTAACCTCAGGCGTTTTGGTTTAAAACTGTAGGTACGATGTGGCTTATTTATATTCAGTAATTTAGACGCATTATTTCCCGGTGTTGTTACATTTATCGTAGGAACAGTGGCAGAACGTTGTACCATTTGTCGTTGTTTGATGGATACCTCGTTGGTTGTGGACAATTCTCGTTTATCAGTTATTCTTGAACGTCGCTTGAGACGCGAAGGATTAAATGCACGACATCTAGTATATACATATTTTTGTCTTCTTAATTTTTTCTCTTTATTGGGATACATTCGCTCCAAGGACACCGGCAATTGTAGGAAGAACATATGAATATTGACAGTGGAAAGTTATAATTCAATAGCTACGAGAGAAGAAAAAAAAATTTCAACTCTTCTCTTTCCTGTGAGGAGCTCAACTTTTTTTTCTCAGACCAAATACATTCTTCCTCATATATAAAGACCAGTGATCGATTATCTCACCTTGTCATCGATTCCTTGTAGTCCAAATCATCGATTCCAAATCTCTCGCGCAAATTTCGAAACACTAGAGGACAGTATTCCTTTATTTTAAAGTGTGATGGCATGTTTTCCCTGTAAAAATGCAAATTCTGGTTGAGTTTAATCGATCGAGGGATAATAAATCAGATGGATTAACTATTTATTCCTCTGGCAGATACACCTGCCAAAGGAAGTTATAGGACATGGGGATTAAACGTGTGGATTTGGCATCTGAATAGATAAAGAGTTTCGTTGGATTCTCCCCATCGGGCTATTCAGTTGATTTAGATGAGGGATACAATTGTTAGATTTACAACGACTGATTCTGGTATTACGTGCCAGTAACTGGCATACGAGTACAAAAACGGTGGTATATTTAGAATTAAAATGAACTTGCTCTGCCAGACGTTGAATTTTCGTGTTACACCGGCCCACCATTGTTTACCTTCTCTACGATGAATTTATTTTTAAGCTGAATCAATAATAATAATAATATTTCGGATATTGGATATTGACGTGCATGAGTTCGGGGTGAATTGATAAGCCTCAATGACTTTTTTTCCTCTCTTGTGGTTGTTATATTCTTTCATCACGAATTCCCAGATTATAACAATTGTCTTACTTGTTGAAGAGGTGATTATCAACTTTGAGTTTGCTGTAAGCCCTGAAATCATCGGGTAGAAGCATCACAGGAATATTCACATGGCTCAGTTCATTAATCTGTAAAAATTATAAGGAATCCCTCAAAATTGAAAAGAAAAATTCGTAATAATCAATCAAGATCAATCGTCAATATATCGAAATAGGCAGAGTGAAATTTCCGGTTTTATCTTCCTTTCGGATGTATTTTTTCCGGGTTACAAGTGATGCATGAGTCATTTAAATCGCATCGTTTTATTTCGAGATATCGGCGATTTGATAGAAACACTTTCAACTCCATTGTTGACAGTTCCATGACTCAACAATAGCGTCTATAACCCCAGGGCCTTTCAATCTCAAAAATAAAAATTAAAAAGCAAATGTATCCTACCGTGTGATTAACTCCCCACATGAAAACACTGAGGAGTGGCTCATTGGCACGAAAAAGCTTGACCTTTTGGTGCTTGACACGAAAGTGCTTCTTCTTGAGTTTGGAGAGCCCTCCGGACATATGCGGAATTCCGGACATAGTGAAAAATTACAAACAATTTAACCACTCGATCAAGTCTCTATCACCTCAAACTCTGTCACCAAAATTATCGATCCCCTGGGGCTCTTAACCCCAACGTCTCCTCTTTACACTTAAAAAATGTTCTGATAAACAATCCAGGGGGTAAATTCGATTACGCCATCGACGTTTCCACTAGTGCACCAATTGAAATTGATTATTGGATTTTCATGGGGCAATCGCCGATCGGTATTATTCGATTCTCTCAATGATAGTTTGTGAATAATTCCTCTTGATATGTTCGGGTGGTTTTTTTTTTTAATTGGAATTATTCGGAAAAAAAATTACCGGACCGCGCAGTTCGACAGTCGATCGGCCACTGAGTATTTGGCCCTTTAAAAATGGCGAAGGGGAAAAAGGAAACTGCGCAGCTCATAGGAAACGTCGATAAATCCAAGATGGAGGGAATTTAAATGGAAGCGGGAATTTTCGGATTTTTAAGTGAAATAACAAAGCTTTATTTATCTTCATATAAAACAATAATTGCTGGTTTTCTTTATTCTTTTATAATTACACATTTTGTTCAAATAATCTGTCAAAATTATGTAATTCTTTTATTTTCCGCGATTTGTACACTTGTTCCATAAAAAATAATACACAACGGAAGGGTAGAAATTTCGAAAAGAACTAGTACGTTTCCTCCTTCACTTGAGAAACTTTGAATTTAGAAAATTCCTTAGAATTAAATTCGCAATACTTCTTATTTATTTTGTTCATTTCTCTGGTATTTATATAATAATATATATCTATAAATTTTTTTTTTCGTACATACACAAGTAGTTCAATCAATATTCAATATCAATTATTTATTTATAAATTTACACGATGATCATCATCAAACTTCAAACTCATATTTCACGAAAAGTCAATGATTTCCTTACGAAATTGTTAATTATTTCTTTATTATGTAAAAAAAAATTCAAGTTCTGTTAATGATAAATAGAAAAATTCATTCAGGATCACTCGGCAAGGTTTCACCATTAGTAATAACAATGGCATCATCATCGGCATCATTAAACTCCATCGAATTGTCACATTTTTTTTTCTTCTTAATTTGAACTCTATCATCATCACTCTCGTCACGATTATCCCTCTTAGTTCTGTCTCTACACCGTATTTTAATCTCATCACCATTGGCATTACCACATTTAGTCCTAAACGCTTTCTTTTTGGTTTTATCATCATCATCATCATACTCACGATCTGTCAAATCTTCATTATCAACTTTGATAATTAATGCTGCCGAATCACTCGAACTATCATCATTGTTATCAATATTTGTTGGTAATTTATCAATTGTCGACGTATCATCGACCAACGGTGGAGTTCTTGCACCAATTTTACACCCATCACCACTCTCATTATCCAATTTTATATCATTCATTTCACTTTTAACTTCGTCGTTATCCTCCTCCTTTTTGAGGGGTGGAGTGTGGGGGGAAAGACCATTCGATAGATTCTGATCACTCGTTGATTTAAGGGAGGCATTTTCCTGTTGCAACAGAGTCACAGACTCACGAGCTTTTCGTAATTCTTGTTGCAGAAAATATATTGTACTCTGCATTCCCTCCACGTCCTCATCGAGATCCTGAAGGAATTCATCGAGCTCTGCAAGAAAATAATTCCGATTTCACAATTGAAATTTCTGCAGAATTAGTCAACATAAATTAACAATTTATCTTGATTCCTCTCGACAACTCACCAGATTGAGATTTTTTCACTTCCTCACTGAAACTCTTCTGCAGTGCCAGCTCTCCCTCCAATTTCGCTATTCTTCCACTAGCTATCATCCTGCCAAGCTCCTCATTCTCTTGATAGAGAAGCCTGCATTTAGCCATCAGTCTCTTTCCGGTATTGCTGAAAATAAAAGTCATTCAACCGTGGTGATTGATTCGATGCGGATCGTGGAATTATTTTATCCCCGAAAGAAACGATGTGGCTACCTGTCAGGGGTGAATTTCCAAGCGCTCAATTCATTCTGTGTGTCTTCTAGCTTGGCTTTCGTCGTTATTAACTCCTGTCGCAATCTTTGAATTAATATATTGACAGCTGGATCCAATAACGTCGATCGTAGAGATGAGGCGGACGGCGATTGAGCGGCTTTCATTGTCGCTATTTGATTCTGAAATTCATTCGAATCGTCGGAAAATGAATTCAAGATTGGAGAGGTGATTTATGAGCAGTTTTCTTCGAGAATTAATTAATTAATTAATTTACCACATATTCCTGTAACTCCTGCTCCTTGGAAGCCAGTCTTCTGACGAGTATTTTCTCCCTGTGTGACGCCTCTCCATACTGCTGTCGATATTTCTCCTCGGACTCTCTCAAACTCGCCAACTCCCCTGAATAATCAAATTTAGAAAAACGAAAAATCGTTAACAATGAAAATGCCCTCACACCCAGAATAACATTAACAAAATTATCATTCAGAGAGTCCACCTGCGTCGAATGTTCCTCAAAAAACCTCCACAGATCTCCGAAAAATCATCCATTTCCCAAATCAGAAAAATCAACGATTTTAATCGATCATTTGAAATAATTAGACTCAGGCTCTAGTTCCGTTTTTTTTTTAATTCGAGCTGTTCAGCACACTCGGCTATTTTTATAACGAAAATAAGCAAATGTGCGAAACAGTCAATTCCCTCGTAAATTCACCAGCGATGGAGAACTGCAGATAATCCCCCAATGAAAATCACATTTTCCCCCACAGAAAAAAAATGATCCTCCCATCAAATAACCATTTGAATCACCTCACAATCACTTCACGCGAATTCCACTCAAAATTTTCCATTTTCCACTCAAAACCCCCACAGAATTGACCAGAAAACCATCACAATTTCACTGATCACTTGAGCAAATCACGATAACTTCACAATTAAATCCCTCGCAAATCTTAATCCTAGAATCATTAATCTAAACAACATCATGAATAATTCAATAATGAATAAACAAATCTCATCTGTCTCTCCATAAATTTAAAACATCTTAAAGTCTCTAACCAACTCGTTCCTAACGCAACTCTCGAAATGTTTCTTTCTCTTTCAACTTAAAAAAAAAATTGATTTCTTTAATGTTAATTATTGTTTCTGAGAACGAGGTAATCAGCCCCTCGTTCTAGTCTTTAGTCAGTACCTTCCTGGGCTGCCGATTGTGCCTCAAGACACTCGATATACAAGTCCTGTTCACGCCACTTGGCTGCCAATTCCTCTTTAGCTGTTGTCTCCAACTGCTGATCAGTTAATTTTATTCTCCTGCTGTGCCTGGGTGATCTAGGACTAGGTGGTTTTTGCACTTGTGGACTTCTAGGTGATGAGGGACCCACTTGCTTCACCTCCACACCCTCCTCTGCCATTATTACTCAATCACTTTACTTCTCCCCTATTTACCAAAGTTCTTTATTATTTTTTCACTCTGACTTTACAATAACTGGGTAATATCAGCTTTTCTCTCTCCTGTCCTGAGTGCAATATCCTCAGAACTTGAGCAATTCTGACCTGAAAACATGAAAATCCATAAATCTCCACCAACTAAAAAAATCATCAAAGTGATACCAAAATTATTTCCTTAAAAAATCATAAAAAATCGTGACTTCCTCGATGATTGAAGAAAATTCTAGAGAAATGGAATTCGACCCATTAAATATAAAATGCCATGATTTCAAGATGGCGGTGCACAATACACGCAGAGTGTAGATTTGGCATCATATGGCGATTATTTATTTATTATTACTCTCTTGAACAATCATTGATTATCGAAGAAGTCACTGAATCGATGGTAATTATCGTATGCAATTAGTGGAACTTTGCTGAATACTTTTAACAGTTCGCTTTGATTTTTTTTTTATTGGAGTTCCGGCTATGTTGGACTGCAATGGAGTATCTGGTTATTCACCTGTTATTTTTGTGCTCAGGAACGTACATTGATCGAATCAATCCACCTCGATGCACAGAACATTTCAGGGATCATTTAAGGGGGAATTTAATTGTTTATTACTTGGAAAATAGTGTGTTTATACACGCCGGAGGGATTTATCACGACACACGACACATCGTTAGCCACTGGACTGAAGCAATCGGTTCTTACCCCCTGGATCTCAACTCCATTGGCCCATTTCATTATTAAATCCACCAATGGACAAAGTTTTACCTGCGTTTGCGCTCCACAAGGCGGGAATTTCAATTATCCATTAACCCAAATAACATTAACTCTTTCCCATTCTAATCGCAAAAACGGAAACAACTCCTTCAATAAAATTCAATTTATCTTTATTATCAACAATTACATAATATTTCATATTTCACGTGATATAAAAAATTAACTCTTTTTCGCATGCGATGTACAAATTTTCAATCAATCGTGGGAACAATATCGATTCCTGGATGAACACCTAATTAAATCGTGAACAATAATTTAAATCAATTCATTCAAACCTAAATACAAAAAAAAAACGAGACAAAAATGAACGAAAAGTTTAATAATAATTACTTCAACCGAGGAATAAATTTCAAGAGCAACTTATTTGCCTTTTCTCGCGATACTGGATGCTCCTGCTGCATTTTTCCTCGCCATAGGATTCGGGGACAGACTCCTGGTGGATGCATCAGGAGTATTACCCTTTTGCCCTGAACTGCCAGCAGAAAGTGCGCTGAGGGATCGATTGACTCCTGGAGGCTTAGGCGTCAATATCTTGAGTTGTGAAATTCCTTTAGGAAGAGGAACCTGAGCCTTAGGATCCGGTGAAATCCTTCGCTTCGCTGATAGAAGAACTCGCGAGTCATTACTCGATAGAGAAGTGGTGCTGGTTGACGGGGTGGCTTTATTCGCAACTCTCTTTAACATACTGGGATTTCGCTGAGAATTAACAACTATCAATTTATTTCCCATCTGCGAGGAATTACTGACGCTCTTCCTGCGAGGTGGAAGTTTTGTCGGTGTTGTCTTGGGGATTGATAATTGTTTGGAGGGCAGAGGAGCTCCGATACTACGACGTGCGAGTGGTTTTTGAATGGTGGATTTTGCGGAGAGAAGTCCTGGACTCGAACAGACAGAGCTTGGCCTCGAGTTCACACGACCTGGACTCACTCCAGATCTTCCCGATGGCTTTAGAAATACTTTATTCTTCCCTGGCCCTGGGGAAATAATCCCATACGAGTTCTGAGCCTTCTCCGCGTAGTATTTTATTCTCTTCAGACACTCGGCCAGACTGACATTCTCGTCTTCACTCTGGAGGGAGACCTGTCCCAGTGAACTGCAGAGATCACCCAAAACAACAGGTGAACTCGATATCTTCGGAGGTGAGGGACGAGGTTCTGCATCTCCTTTTGTGTCTAGGTCCCAGGTTTTCTGACGGGGGAACGCACTCGTTGGAGTTGTCTCTGGGGTTGCACCTCTCTTCGTCATCAGGGGAATCTTTCTGATATTCTGGGCACTCATCGAAATTCTTCTATCGATAAAAGAGATCTGAAAGGCAATTGTATATTTCAATGAATTAATTAATTCATTGTGTTCCACATTGAATTAATTAATTCATTAATTTAGAGAAGACGATAGTACCTGAGGTGAAGTCCTCATCCCACACTTTCCCTCCCTCACGCGATAAATTTCTGGCTGTGTAAACGAACGTGTGAATGACTCGGATTTATCAATCGGCGATCGTAAATCATCATTTTTAGCAATACTTAAATTCAGGGTAGAGTCTCTGTTCTGATTGATGTCCCTTCTGGTGTTTATCGTATTGAGAAGATGATGAAGAATGTCTCTCATCATTGCCCTATCGTCTCGAGATACCGGAGGAAGAAGATTGCTCCCAGTATCTTCGAATTTATTGATGCTGTCCTGTTAAATTTATAGAAGAGACCGTGAAATTTTTCATTAGAAAAAAAAAATCTAGCGCTGCATTGGAATTCCTCCCGATCTATTTAGAAAATTTTTACCAAACTGCCAGTGGGAGCTGTTCCACTGACGCTCCAGAGGGACGCATCTTTGGCATCCTCTTGCTTCAAGCATTTGCAATCAACGTCATCCAATTCAAGGACAGCCCTCATCCCCGATGTTCCACACTCCAGAATAATGCTCATTAAATTACTCTTCTGATCTCCCGATTTATTATTTATTTCGTACTCTCGCAATTGGCAGCCCAACGCCTGCAAGAGGCACACGATGCCAGGTACATCGGGTTTCTCCATATCCTTAAATTAAATCCAAATATTCCCTCCAATTATCTCATTGTTGTTAGAAAAATTCAGTGATTATTCCCATTTTTTTTTTCACCTGCTCGACATTTCCGTAACACCACTTGGTTGCCCACTGGAAAAATCTGTGTTTCACTTTGCCCGAGGCTATTGAATGCTCAATGGGACCAGTCACGTCCATTTTGATGCGACAACTGAAACCTTGTCAATTATTTTCTCACCTTGCCAGCGCTTACATTTTGAGTGTTTACATTTTGAATTGAGGATTTCGTTTCATTTCCCCGCTATTCTATAGTCGGTGATCGTGACGAACGGAAGAATCTCTCCATTATCGAGGGTGAGAAATAAGTACTCGGAAAAATGTCGATAAGTGAAAAATTCGGGAGAATTCAAATTCGAATTTCCAATTTATTAAATTTCAAGTGCATTTTTTTTTCTTGTACACATACTTGAGTGGATAACACGGAATCTGGATCGTAACAGGTGATCCACAGAAAATTATTCAATTATTCAATTATTCAATTATTCAATTATAATTATAATTATGACAGCTTCAGGATGTTGTCAGGAATTCTGGCCAAATCAGGATCGTATGACCCAGGTCGATTGAAATCAGGATATTCCATTCCTGTTGTATAAAATAATTTATATTCACGTATATTTAAACAGAGGAATCGAATATTAACGATTGAAACGGACGAGAGAATAATTAAATAATTCAGCGATTCCCTAGATCAATGATTAATTGGTTAAAATGATTTACCTGTGGCTTCTCCTGGTTGTCCTGACTCTGACATCTGAAGCATCGAAGGTATTCGAATAGCACTTGCGGATGCAATATGGCAGACATTTCTGACGAATGCCCGCAATAAAAAAAAAACTCTCAACAATCAGTCCCTCAAAAAAATCCTGAATCAATATATCAATATAAATTCACTTACCCCACAACTGCAAGGACCACCACGAATTTCACTCCCAACATTTTCCGCTGAAATTATCGAACGACTCGGGAATAAACTAGATGTGTGAATTTTTCTGCAGCTCTCGCTATTTTATTCAGAAGTCCCTCGATTTTTTCCTGAACGTGTCCTCATAAAATCTATCATACAATATTACGCCCTTGCCACTGGACAGGTTTATGCAATTGAGTCACCCGAGTATTATTTACGGATAAATATAATAATGTAACTTATAGCACTCATCCGATATTTTTCCAGAGAGCAAAAAAAAACGCATAGTCAGTCATTAAGAAATTGAACAGAAGTCTTCAATACAAAATTTCGTTTTTTATTAATTAATTCATTTTTCATTTATCATTTTTCATTTATATTTCGGTTACATCTAACGGAATTTGTTCATTGATAAGTAGATTCTTGTCTTCGTCGTTGAGTGCAGCGAAAAATGTTGTTACTTGTAATACCGCAGGTCCCAGGATATTCTTCAAGTAATTCCTAAATTCCTCGCACTTTTGTTTGGACGTGAAATCGTTTGAACTCCCCCATATTACATGTCCGGCTGCTCCATTTGTCGCCATGACATGGAATACACCTTCTACATCAATCTGAACAGTAATAAAATCAAACTGGATAATCGAAATGATCAATTCAGGTGAAATATTATCGGAGCCGTTCCACTCACCTCCGAGAGAAAATTATTACTATTATCGCGATACTTATACCAAAAGTACGGTAAAATGACTGAAGACAGGGAATATTTCTCGATGATCCTTCGAGACTCCTGAAGTCTTCCGACAATCAATCCTTTTTTTTCGTTGACTGTTAGCGTTGATCTGATGTATACCGAGGGGAAGAGAATATCCTCAAGCTTCCACAACCAGGAAATCCTCGAGAAATTGAAAGAATAATTAAAAAATTATTTCCCGCACTCTAAAGTTGAACTTTCGTGATAAAAATGAAAGAATTATTTCAGAGATTTGATAGAGAATTCGGTAATATTTTTTTCAAAAAGACTATCTTACCGGTCATTATCTTTTTTGACATTCTCGTCGCACTTCCAATTTCTCTGCCGAGGTGTCAAATTGAAGCAATACGGATAGGCGTAATACCCCCAGGAGGCCCTAGGTCTCAATAATTTCGCCGTTTTTATCGTTTCCTCCATGAAAATTCTTCCAGCTTCCTCGAACCTCCTGATGGCCATCTCGTTGATGCTTTTGACACTCCACCAGGGGTGTCTTTTCCGCTCGATCGACACAGAAAGGTCTCGATAGGGTGCCAGAGACGCCCAGTTTTGCCGGTAAATCGGCCGCCAGCTCTCGAAGTCAATCACAGCCACCCCCTCGAAATTATCGGATAATTGCTCATTCACGTGGATTTTGAATAGATCCAAGTGCTTCTGGAGGTCACCCTCCTGGGGCACTCCACCATTTCTCAGGTACATCGATCCTGACAAACGTACAATCAAATCAAATCAATCGCCGTTATCAGGGCGAAAAATCGATCTCCGGATCGTGACTCCATTTATTGATATTGAAAATTAATGCGATCTTACCGTTAGAACTCTTGAGAATAGCCGGAAACGACCCCGGATCGTATATAATGGCCATTTTCTCCCCTCGGAACTTATCATTCTTGTTTTGAATGATTCCGTAATCATTCTGGACCTCTTCAAAATTCATTCCATACTTGTGACACATGAATGTAGGAACATTCCAATAAACTTTGTAGTCACCTGGGGCTGCGAAATTTTTCTCAGTGCTTCCATTGCCAAAAAAAATATTGCTAATGCTGAAATAATTATTCGCGCGTTAATCTCCTAGTTGATAACGACAAGGTGAGAAATTTACCTGGGCAAGGTCGATTCTATCGGGGTGAGGGTCAACAGGAACAACACAATTTTGTACATATCAGCTGCTACATAAAAATTATAAATTCATAGTAATTCATAATCAGTGGGTAGTTGCATTTTTTAGACATCATTAATAATGAATTAGCCATTCTCTTTCGGTTCGTTCTCCCTTTCTCGGTTTTCAAATTCTTTTATGACGGTGCTATCAATAGAAGTGCCATAAAAATTCTTTAATATTGTTCGTCACTCGGCCGTAAAGAACTTTTATGACGATTAATTACAGCTCGAGATGAAGTCGAGGAATCTAAACACACTCGCTGGAAAACATTCTGCCGGCCTAGCGACGTAATATATTTTTGTAAATTAATTTGGCTTTTCAAATGATGTATTCAGATGTTTTCAATCAAGATAACGATTGTGTATTTTGAAATGGTATGACACTTGTGGGATTCTACAAGCAATTGAGGTACTCTCACAATCTTGCAACTTGATTAGGAAAGCATTAGAATAAATTTTCCATGCCCTAATTCGATTGTTATTCGAGGCAATTCATTCGGTGAACATGAAAAACCGGTTTTTTTTTCAAATCGTAGAAAAAATTCAGTAACTCACTGAATTTCAGTTGACATTAATAAAATGAATAAATCCGCGGCTTTTTATAATTAATTATCTAATTGTGACAATATTTTGTAATTATTTTAAAATGAAAAATCGAATTTTATTGGCGTCAATATTTTTGAAAATGTAGATTAATCTGCTTTTTGGCAGCGAAAATAATTATTAATGATTTTGCAACGCTAATCACCTCGAGTGAACAGGACGTGTTGAAATACTTCGACTTCACCGCAGTCCCATTGTCAACAATGTAACAACTGAAATTCACGTGAAGGTACACGAGTATATATATTGCCTCGGTATTTCGTTATTTATTGTCTTCCCACTCTAGGTCTGTCCTCGTGCCCATCGCTCTCACCGAGTGGAGGGTATCCGAGGCAACTCCAACTGCTTTTGTTATCACACAACTCTTTCCTCCGGGCTGGACAATTCTGTTTCCGCGGGACAATTTATTTTTCATTCACGTTCATCTCGGGATTTTAATTGCGAAAGGGCAATGTTACTCGGGCATTACGCCTAGGATGGTGTGAGAGATGGGCGCATTGACGTCCATTCGTGTGTGAATCATGAGAATTGTCCACTCGGGTCAAATCGTATGGATCGAATCGAATCGATATAGGTGTCGTTGAGGTAATAGCCATGTGGGTGAAGGAGTCGGACTGGTAACTGGTTTTTTCACTTGACCCTCGATATCAAATCACTTGATACGACTCGAGATATTAAAGGCGATTGATCAAGTCGTGTAGGTGAATTGACCTGAGTCAAGTTATCGTGCAATATCATATTGTATGGATTTTACCCACAATATTGACCTATGGTTTAAACAAGTAATTTGATTTGACTCGTGAACATTCACTGCCACTGGCAAATTCGGTGATAGTAAACGGTTAAATCTATAACGTGACTCATCCCGGGCTACTATAAACTTGGATATCCTTAAGTCAAATTCAGTGCCTCGTACGAACAAAGACCCCGAAGGCCTCACCTACCTGCAACCTTAGAGATAAGCTTTTCAGCCTTCGTCCCAAAGGTATCGTAGACACGGCCTTAAAAGCATAAATACTCGGTGCAATTAGCAGTGCAGGTGCACCCCCTCTCCCTCTCGAGAGAGATTAACGTTCTCGAGGGTCAAGTCCATTTTGGCAAAGATTGTCTCGCCTCCCACTCTAGGTTAGGTGAATCCCGAGGGTATTTGGTGATATCGTACATGTGACGAAGGGGAAAATGATAACGACTGACGTGACTACCTCAGGGGATCATTGGAGTTTTGGGTTTCTCAGTCCCCCCCTTCCTGACTTTATCGCATCAGTCAGGGACCTTGTCAGCTACATAAAATGTTGTGTGATATTTTATCAATCGCTTAATGACCACCCGTGACATGTGTCCGTGGAATTCGTAACACTCGCTGATGAAAATCAAAATTTTTTCCGTCATTTGACAAAACATTCGACCATAAATGAATGCAAGGATAATTTTGTTTCACACGTCATCTGATTTGTATTCTCCATTTATTAACGTCCTAATGAATCATCCAGTTTCAATTATTTCGTTATTTGGCAGAATTTTGAATAGAATGGCAGACAAAATGGCGAATCCCGGGAAAATATATAAATCAAAATGAAAATGAATAATAACCTCTATTAATCGGTTAAAATGAGTTTCGTCTTTGCTACGAAGCAAATAATCTCCCCTCGTTTCTATTTCAGTATATTTTTCAATAGTCCATTGAAATCCTCACGTTTGCCACTTTCTCAAGCCACTGAAATCCCCAGGCTCGACTGGACTCACGTTTTTGCAGTAAAAAAAAGCAGGACTCGTTGGTTTTTTTTTTATTTTTCACTTGTCGAGTTACTGGAGGACGAGACCGATTTTGTTGGGTGTCATGCTGGGGCAGCGCCAGTTGTAGAGGTAGTATTGTAGGTTTCCATCGCCAATACCGAATTTTAAGGCCTCCAGGAATGCCTTGTTGTCCATTAAATCGAGTGCATTGAACACATCGAAACCCAACTGCAATTATCAATGGATTAAGATTCCTTTGAGTTATATGAGCTTTCCTAAGGAATTCGACTAGGATTAGTCTGTTTGAATTAATTAATCACTCACATTTCTCGCTGAAATGAGGGCATCAGTCATGAGCTCAATCCAGGGTGTTTTCGTCGAGACATTGTAGAAACTGTAAGCTGCTTTCAGTGTCTTGTGCGTCTGGTGGTGCATCACCGAGCTCGGTAGAGTGTAATAACTCACCAAATCCGTGATTTTTCCGTCATTCTCCACTACAAAACTGTTTATTATCCCATTATGGGGCGTAAACCAGTGGCGAAACTCCTCTTCATTAAAAATCGGCGCCAAATCAAACTTTTCTAGATACTTGATTAAAGAAAAAAAAAATTCCAGTAAATTTCAATAAACGGAGACAGGAATATAAATTAATTAGTTTACCTCGTTGAGTAATTTAAATGCTTGAGGTGCGTCTCCAGCCTCGAGCTTCCTAAATCCAGGCACTTTTGGATGTTCAGGGAGTTTATAAAACTTGAGTGTCCTCTGCATCGTCATATTCCTCGACAAATGTGAAAATTTGATCTCAATGAGTTTCTTTGGATTGAGGGAACGATGCCAGTAGCGACATGTAGCTATGGGCTTTGGTAGAATGACACCAGCAGTGTAGACAGCCTGGAATATTCCCAAGAGATTGACTCGCCTAGTTATCTCGCGAATTAACACCGGGGCAACTCGTTTCGAGCGCAATTTCTTGTGAACGCAGAGAAAATTTATTTCCACCATCTTTTGCGAGCTGAAAATCAGAAGATCCTTCTTTACGTTAATCTAATAAGTCCTCGAATATTGAGAAATTGTCTCGGAAAATGGAGGATTCAGTGGAAATTTCCTCCGAGATTGATAACGAGTGGGAATGAGAGGAGTCGAATTGACGATTTAAATTCCTGATGAGGTCTTTTAGAAAGATTTATCGACACATCTTTTTATTGCAAATTCACGTTTCAAATTGATAAAAATTTTATTGTATACTTACTGATCGTAGACGCGTAAAGTCGCAGGAATTGCGGATATAAATCCAACTAAACGGCCACTTTTTATCACACGAACCCCACAGTGCCATTCTTCGCACCAGCCTGGAGGCTGCAGGGCCCTGAAAATCGTTGTTTTCATTTTTTTCAATTTCCATTTTAATTCAAATTAAATGATAATTCATTCCATTTACCATTTGAGAAAATCCTGGGGATAATCAAATCTGAACATGGCATCGTCGTCTTCTACGTAATTTTCACTCAATAACGTGTAGACCTCGGCGAGGACTAGAGGATCGTCCAGATGAAGGTTATCCCACTGGAAGCCGTCGGGCAAAGAGTAGGGCTCTGGCCTGATGGACGTTTTGTTCTGTTCAATCGGCTCATTCACAACTATTTTCTCATCTGCAGTATTTAATTACAAGATTAATAATCACCCCAAATTCAATTTTCGCACTGTTTCCGAATTTGAAGGTCAGGTTTTCAAGGGAAGTAATTTAATAAATGTACTTTACCCATTTTGGGAACCGGCTGAGTGCTCCAAAATTGATAAGCCTTTTGCATTGCCTCCTCCTGTGTCTTGGCTGGCTTCAGTTGCATTTTAAACACTTCCATTGCCAATTCAATCTCCTTTATTGTGATGTTGCATGCACCAGGCACTTCGCCATCCACTGGGACTAATTCATTGTTCTCTTTTGAGGAAGTCGACGGCTGATTCCTCTTTTTTCCCTCTCTTTTTTTTGCACTGCGAAACAATTTCGTGAAAAAGTTGAATCTCCCAAAAATCTTTCCAAAGCCAAGAGCCTAGCTAAATTGCGTTAGTAAATCATCATAAAATTGTTGAACGACAATAACAGAATGGCGGGCAACTAATGCGGAATTAATCCATAAAAACCTCCAGAGAGGAGAAATAGTGAAAGAAGTAACACAAAAAATTGAAAATTGAAATTACCCGCCGGAGTCCAAAGGGGAACGTCATGTAATTGCATGAGTGCCCAATTAAATTGATTATCCAGAAAACGAGATTAATTTTCAGGAAGCAGACGATAAATTCCAGTCGACTAATGATTACATTTTTGCGTAATATAGAGAGACTCCGAAAAATAAAATTGCTCGTGGTTAAAATTAATGGGCAATGCCGGGTGGAGACAATCTCACCGCCGAAAAGTGCCAATTGTTATCAATTCTCGATCGAGAGAATTTCAATTATGATGAGAAATATGGTAATATATTTTTCTATGAAATTCTCACCTTTTACTTTTTCCTTCCTTCTCATGATTCTCCAAAGTTTTTTCGTCACGATCCAACACTCGACTTTTGTCCGCCATTTTAATATAGACAGGCAATGGCCCAAAGAGGATTGACTAAAGTAGAGGCTCGGTTC